GGCCGCCATCTCTGTAATGTAAAGGATAACTCTAAAATCAGATGCAGTATACCGTCGCTTTATCTTACACACGGACCAGCCTAGTTGGAACCGTAAAGCTTCGTTTCCTAAAAAAGAAAAAGGATTTCGTGTGACACGTGCTCTGCGCGTAGGACAAGAAATGACAGAATGAGGGTAAGTAAAAAGGGGAGGCTGATGTCATTGTGTATTGGAAGGGGCTCGTGCCAAAGCCAGCACTGCAAGAGTGGCTTTCTACGGTAGTATGTTCTGCAGAAATTTGTAATACGTTTCAATTCGGTAAGCTTTCAAACATCTAGGAAAGAGTGGCGAATGCAGGGAGCAAACCACCACCAGTTCGCTGTTGAGACCTTTCGCGGATCTCTTCAGGGCGGGTCATCTGGGTGAGTCCTGGTAAGCAATACGAAATACACAGTAGTGGAACACTCTGGATGAAACATAACTGGATGAATGAGACATGGCCTCAGCATGCACTATGTGAGTGGTACATTGTAAGTTATTGAATGTGGATACATGTTTTTACTGTCAATCTCTACCTCCAATGCTTGTATCATGCGTTTTGCGAATCCTACTCACTTTGGATGCATGAAAAAAATATACGGTATGATTTTTTACATGGCTTTTGGTAAACGATAAAGTTTGTATGGTACATTTATGCTTTCTCATTTTGCACATGCAGCTCGCACTAAGAAGTGGGAAAATGGTTTCTCACATGGTATAGTGACAGCCGTTTGTTGGCATTACCCTTATCCGAGTAGGCTTGTAGCGAAAAAACAGGAAGCCTCATTGTTGTCCACCTTTCTTTGGTGTGTGACTCCTCACACCTCTCGAGGGAACTACGCTATCTGCTTTCGTGGCTATTTATGATTGGGTCATGTTCACGTGGTAACAGCAGAGTCCCCATCAAACCCCTTTGGATGACCTGGAAACTGAACATGGTGCACCACGTGTAATATCCAACAATCTTCACAACCATTTTTCGTCACGTGATGGCTATGGGGACTTCCACGCGGAGGCGCAAGCAATTCCCAAACACGAGGGACCGCAAGATTCTCGGGTGATCGAGCGTGAAAGCAGGCATTCAGACGCGCCTCGCCTTTATGACCTTTCAGGTTCGTAAAGGCCACCAAGAGCTCACTTGCACAACGCGTCTCGCTGGAACCCCAAGATGAGAGAGGGGTTTCAACAATCACGCTGAGTGACCCCAGGAATCTCGAAAGGTCGTTTGGCCCTTTGTCTCTCGATGAGCCAAGCTTTCTGGAAGCCCACCTCTCACATCGAGCTTTCATCCACAGGTCCAGGATAACCCCAGTCGATCCATGATTGCTTTTCTTGCTATCAGTCCATCTCCTTGAACGCACAAACTTCTCCCCTGCAGCAAGACAACCAAATTGCCCAGCAGTCACTGATCTAGATCTTTACAGGCTAATCTATTCCACACCAGCACGATGCAGCACCTAAACGGACACTTACCCAATCCAATGGCGGCAAGCTTCCCTTTCGGCGTATCGCTTTCCCCTTGCTTCGCTCCACAGGCTATGGCCTTTACGACCACGCCTTCCGGGGTAGTTCCAACGTTACCTGGTCAGCAACAAGTTGGTTCCGCAAACCAACGAGGCAGTTTAGGATCCAGGAGCGGTATCTGCGCAGCTAAGCACATGGAAGCGGAACAAAGACGTCGGGCCCGGATATCTGACAGGTGCGCTCTTGTTCATTAGACGAAAGCTTCCGGTTTTATGCCTTCCGTCGCGATATTCACGTTCCTCTTTCCCCCTTGTTCCTGATTTCAGCATTGACGCACTTAAACGACTCGTTCCGCACCAGGGGCGGACCAACACGGCAGCATTTTTAGCGGAGGTGTATGACTACATCGAATCCCTGCATTCCCGCATTCGACGCATCGAGGAAGCCACGAACTCAGCGGAGCAGCCCTCCCTCCCTGCTTCTGGAGCCAAAGCGGCCGACAACGTCAATGCCCCGCCGCAAACAGCACTGGCTCCTAATTCCGCTGACGAAGCCTCGGGTGACGACGCGGACGACGCGACGGTAGAACGGGCGCAAGCCATGGAAGGCAATTTTCGTGTTGAGGGTGGGGAAGAAGCACAAGCGCAGTGTCGCATTGACGAGCAACAACGCGAGGGCTTCGATCTGAATATGATAGCCGTGGAAGGAACGGTGCGGGAGGGCGCGGAGCCACTAGATGTTAGCGCGAGTGGCGCAAAGACCGTTAATGAGCTCGCGGGGAAGAAGCGGCGACGGGACAGTTTTGATTCTTCTGTCGTTAAGCCGGCGTCCGGCGTATGTGGACAAGACGGAACCGCAGATGTGGGCACAAAACCGTGGTGGCTTCGCCAAAACGAGCTCAAGACAACCACGGCTGATGCGCGGCGAGAAGGCGGTGAACTGGCCGCCGTTACAGTTGAGAGGCAACGAGTGGGCGGGGACGCGGCGTGGACAGAGGAGCTACCCGGACTGGCTCCTTCGCCGGAGCATCCACGGCAGCAAGCGGAGCTTCAGAGTAATGACGGCGTCTCCGCTTCCTCGCACCCCTCCACGGCACCTCCGCCGCTTGCCACTCCGTTATCCGCGTCAACGTCCCCTTCTTGCTCCGCGGGCGGCTCTGCTGCGCTGGCTGCCTCCCCCGCTCCCCGCCGACGGGTCTCTGCGCCATGCAAGGGTCGGCGCGGGCGGCCAGCGCTTGGCGCACGTGCGCGGACGGAAATATCGCCGTCTCCGCTTAGCAGCACTGGCGGTAACGGCTGCGGTGTGGAGGAGGAAATGGAAGATGCGGCGAAACGGAACGCAGCTGGTGCTCACGCGGCAGCGGCAGAAACCACGCAGGTCCGCGACACTGATGCTGGCGATGCTGACGGCGAAGTGGACGCTGCTGTGGAGGCGGCATCGGTGCTGGCGATGGTGGGATCGTCATGGTGTGACGCTACGCAGCCCAATAACGCGCAGGCGCCCGCGGCTCCTCCAGCTGATGCTGCCACGCCTGCTGCCGCTGTTGGTCCTGTTGCTCGAGTCGCTGGACCCGCCAACCAACGACAAGCACCACTGAAGCCAAAGTGAGTGCTTGGCTGCTGGCAATTGCTTATTTTCCTTAACGTTCTTGGCATGGGCAAATTAGTCTTAATTTCCCTTCACACTTTTCCTCGTGGTTCATCGTCTGTTTATTCCTTTACCTTACGCACAGGCAACGACATTTACAATCAACCCGACTACAGCCACTTGCTGCTGCTCCAGCTTCCACGGTTGCAACATTGCCTTTCGGCCTTCCATCCTTCTCAATGCAGCTTCCCATGTTTACCACCATGCAACCTTCTGCACTGCCTGCGGTCCAGCATCCCTCGTTAGCTTCTGCGGCAGCAGCGGCTGCTGATGCAGCAGCTGTGGCGCAGCAGTGGGGGATGGCGGCTGCAGCAGCCCACATCCAAGCACAGGCAGCAGCACAAGCTCATGCCCAGGTTCAGGCGCTCATGCAAGCAGTGGCTGCATCAGGAGGCACAACTGCAAATAATGGTGGAGCTCTGCTCCCAGTCACATCTCCTACCGGTGCATCGCCTGCACTCGTGGTTTCTGCCACTGCGCCCCAACAGCCAGCACTTGAAGTTGCCCCAGCAGCAAATGGAGTTTCGGCAGTGCCAGAAGCTGTGGCAGAGGAAGAAGTGGGTAGGAAACGGAGGCGGCGAGGTGCGGGTCAGGCCAAGGTGGTCTGAATTTTTTGTACCAGAACACATTTACCTTTAACTAGCCATGTTAAGCTATAGAAAGAGACTTGGAATTGTTTCTTCAGCTGGAGTTTCCCCCTTCAATTCCATTTGTTATTTTATTGTGACATGACAAAGGCAGCTCTGCCTTCAAATCCACAATTATACGGTAACAGCAGTATGTGCAATACTGTTGGCTGGATGGGATGGACGTCTGACGGATAGGTACAGAGCCAGATTGACGGTGGGATAACCACATGGGGATGTGCATTTTAGATTAGTTTCCAAGGAAAATTACTAGATGGCCAGACAAAGCAAAGCCACTAAAAGCAACGCAGGTATTGAAATATGCATACCGGTGGCACTGTACTCAGATTGAAACCCATATGGTACGGATCCTAGTTTACGGAATGTAGAATTATAGAAAGTAGAATAATAAGGCCTCAAGTGCAGTGGCAGAGAAAACATAGAAGAAACGTGAGCTGCTAAGTACAATAGTAGGAAGGACCGGACTACAGTAGAGAACAATCAATTGTACGAACAGTCAGAAATTGGTACGGTAAGATGGTGCATGAAGAGGCAGTGAGGTGCAGCCAAACAGCTGAGCTGCGGGACTGAATCACGGAACAGCGAGAAGTTGTGCGAGCTGGTGAGAGCTGGCTGGTGCGTGCTGGGTGTCAGCACACGACTGTGCTGGATTGCCTCCGCAGGTCTGCTGAGTGGCGCTTTGGAGAGCGGTCGAGAGGGGTGGTGCAGCAGGGTGGTTGTGCAGCGAGGATGAATGGTTGTAAGTGGCGTGGAGTCGGGCTTGTACGCGTTCCTGTACAACACAAGCCACAGACGGGTACGATGTAATACTCGGGTAGTAGATTGCTAGGTCAGGAGGTGGGTAGGTAGGTGGGTGGGTAGGTGGATGGGTGGCTGGGTGGATAGTAGGTGGGTTGGTAGATAGGTAAGTAGGTAGATAGGTGAATAGGTAGGTAAGTTAATAGGTAGGTAGGTTGGTCCGTGACGGTAGGTCAGCATACGGAGCATGTGTGCTTGAAGTTACGTTCCATGAGATGGGTTGCATCATCGCTCCTTCAGCAAGAAGGGCAATTGTATATGAGCAGGCTGTGTGTGTGATGGGCCGTTTCAGTCAGTGGGCAGTTGAGGGGTGTGCGGGGTGTGAGGGGTGTGAGAGCGCGGAGCACTTGTGCTTGAGCAGGTTGCGTTGTGCGTGTTGGGCTGCATACCACTGAATCAGCAGGTCCGATCTGTGGTATCATCAGGTCAGGGCGAGAAGCACTTGTACTTGACCAGATTGCGCCACTTGTCTTTGAGATCCACTGGCGTGCGCGAGGGGTGGAAGCGGTGCCGGCCGTCCTGCAGAATCAGCTTCCACCTGGCCCCCGCAGCCCTGTGCCTCTCCATCAGCTCCTGATGGGGCCAGGGGGGAGAGAGAGGGCGAGGGAAGGAGAAAGCGGGCAAGTGCGCAAGAAAGAGGGTGAGCGAGGGAAGAGAGGGCGAGCGACGGAAAGAGAGGGCGAACGAGGGAGAGAGAGGGTGAGCGAAGGAGAGAGCAGGAGACAGAGGGTGAGCGAGGGAGAGAGATGGAGACAGTAAACGGTACAAATGTACGGACACGTAACAAAGAGGCAGACACAGGGGAGGAGAGTTGCATAGGTGGAGTCTCGACACTGGAGAGGTTGAGCAGTGAGCAAGGAGAGACGGATGCATGTAGGGTGAAGAGAAGGTGACGGTGGTGAGACCTCATGATACTGAGTCGAAAGGGTGCGTGCACGCACATGCGCGTGCGCGTGCATGCCTGCACGAGTGTGTGAGTGTGTGTGTGTGTGTGCGTGCGCGCGCGCGTATCAACACAGCACAGGCGTACCAGCAGTAATTCTTCCTCTTCTTCTGTCCACTTGCGCTTTGTTCGCCGTCCGCCAGCAGCTGGGGCAGCCGGAGGGGCAGCACCAGCAGCAGCAGCCGGAGGCGCAGCAGCAGCAGCAGCGGGAGGCGCAGCAGCAGCAGCGGGATGAGGCAAAGGTGCTGAAGGAGGTGCAACTCTGGCAGGGCGAGCAGCAGGAGGAGCATTAGCCGCAGCAGCACGAGCAGCAGAGGTACCAGCGGCGGCAGCAGCGGATGCACGAGGAGCAGAGGTGGTTTTCTGGGTTCGCCCATGGCTGGCAGGGATGAGGAAAGAGTCGATGCAGGCAATGGGGGAGATGCTAGAACGGGGAGCGGATATAAGCATGGAACAAGCAGTGAAGCATCACGACTGGGTGCTTGTATTGAACCCGCTAAAGCAACGCGTGTGGAGGGAGGGAGTGCAAAGAGAAGATACCAGGCCTAAGAATATATTAGCCATGAGCAATACCTTGACCCACCAATCCGGCTCGTCGGTGCGACCCGTCAACATGACAAGGCGAGGCGGCAATCCAGAGTGACCTCTTCGTATCGTCCTGCTATGATATGAGACGAACTGGCATGGCATGACACGCTGGGGCCTCTACCAGTCACCATTGGTGATACAAGCGAAGAACAAAGCATCCTCTCACCTGGCCGATGCCTTCCTTTCCTCCTTCTCCTCATGGCCATCCTCCTCCTGCTGCACCGCATCTCCCTCCCTCCCACCACCAGCAACGCCCACTCGCCTCTTACTCCTCTTCCCTGCCGACCCCACCACCTCTCCTATTCGCCTCTTCAACCCACTCCTGCCCACCCTACCACCAGCAGCACCGCCAGCACCTTGAACAACCCTCTCAGAAGCAGATGCAGCACGCACCTCACCTTCCTCCTCCTCATCATCATTCTCCTCCCTCTCCTCCTCCTGCTCCCTTTCCTCCTCCTCCTCCCCCTTCTCCTCCTGCTCCTCCTCTAACGCCCTCCTCTCCTCTGCTCCCCCCACACCACCACCACCCCACCCTTTCAAAATTCCATTGTGCATGAGCCCTTTCATTTCACGGCTCAGCTTTTTCCTCACCTGCCCAGCCATCCCCCCTGCCGTCCCCTTCCCCACTCCCTGCGCCGCTGCCCCTTTTGCCCCCTCAACTTGCTTCTCCTTCCCTCCCCTCCTACCAATATCTCTCCTTTCCCTCTGCACGTCCCCATCCTCTCCCCACCCCTCCACCTCCTCCCTCTGCTGCCTTTGTCCCTTACTCGCTGATTCCCCCTTCCCTTTCATCACCTTACCTCTCGCACCGCCTGCCCACCCATTCACCCCAATCTCAGGCCCCTCCGCTCTCTCAACCCTCGCATCAAATGCAACCCTTCCTTGTGCTTTCCCCTTGCCTTTCACACTGCTTCCGCTCCTCATCCCCCCCTGCTCCTGCTCTCCTTCCTCTCCCCCCCTCCCTTGCAAAGGAGTAGCGGCACGCTCAACACGAGCAGAACGATCAGAAGCACCCCTCTCACCCTTTGCACCCCTCCTCACCACATTATCTCCCATCTCCTGCTCCCCTCCCTTCCGTGCTCTCTGCTCCCACATCTCCCGCAGTCCCTTACTCGTGCTACTCCCGCCTGCCTCCCTGCCATCTCGTCCCAACTCCTTCCTCTCGACCCCACCCTTCCCTTGCACATCCTTCCCAGCAGTACGACCACTCCCGTTTCCACCACCAGCAGCAGCAGCAGCAGCAGCAGTAGCAGCAGCAGCCGCACTGTTCCCATGTGAGCCAGCAGCACCACCTCTCCCAGATTTAACAGTAGCACGAGCCTTCTCCTGCCTACCTCTCCACTGCGCAGCACCTCTATCTGCTCCTCCTGTTGTCCCGTCTCCGTCCTTGCGCCCACCCAAGCCCTTCCGTACCTGCACCTCCTGCTCCCCCTCCTCATCCTCTTCCTCCTCTTTTTCCACCTCTTCCACCTCATCCTCCTCTTCCTCCTCTTCCACCTCATCCTCCTCTTCCTCCTCTTCCACTTCTTCCTCCTCCTCTTCCTCCCCCTTTTCTCTTTCCTCCTCCTCCCCCTCAGCCTCCTCCCCTTCTTCCTTCTCCTCCCTCTCTTCCTCCCCCTCCTCTGCCTCTCTATCATCATACATGCCAAATGCACCTGCAAGTCCTTCTGCTTCCCCACCATCCTCATTCGCCCACCTCCATGCCTTTCTCTTCGCCTCCCCGTCTCCTTTTCCCTCCTGCTGCTTGCTCTTCCCCCCAACGTCCTCTCCTCTGCTCCCCCCTACCCTCGCTCCTCTCCCTTCTTCTCTCCCTCCCTTTCTCCCTCCTCCCCCTTCCCTCCATCCCTCTCTCCTTCCCATTCTCCCTCTCACCGCTTCCCTGCCCTTCACCCCTTCCACCCTCTTCTTTCCCAATCGCCCCCCTTTTCCTCCTTCCCTGTCCTCTCCAACCCTAGGCGTATTCTCACTCTTCCTAGCCCGACTCCAAGCTCTTCTTCTCCCTCTCCCCTTACCTATCCTCATCTCCCTTAATATGACACCACGACCACGATCCATTGCCATTTCCCTCTCCTCGTCCTCCTCTTCCGATTCGTCTGCCTCCTCCTCCTCTTCCTCTCCCCCAACTTCCCCTTCCTCCATCTCTCCTCGCTCTTCCTCTCTTCCCTCTTCTCCCTCTTCCTCGTCTTCCTCTGTTGCTTCTTCTTCTTCTGTTGCCTCTTCTTCCTCCTGCTCCTCCTCTTCTGTCTCCTCTTCACCATCATCCTCAGTCCCTTCCTCTTGCAATGCTCGTCTCTCCTCCTCGTCCTCCTCTTCCTCCTCCTCCCCAGTCTCTTCCTCCTGCGTTAAAGGTTCCTCCTCCTCGCCCTCCTCCTCACCCTCCTCCTCCCCAGTCTCCTCTTCCCGCATCTCCAGTTCCTCTTCCTCTTCCTCTTCCTCATCCTCCTTCTCCTCTACCTCCTCCGCCTCAGTTATATCTTCCATTTCAAACAGGTCAGCCACTCCCCCCTCTGCTCCCTCCCTCTCCACCTCCACACCCTCCACACCCTCACCTCCCTCCCCTCCCATCCCCGCACCCCTGCCCCTCTCCCCACTCCCAGCCCTCGCACCTTTCCTCCTCGCACCACCTGCATCATCAGCGTCAGCAGCAGCAGCAGCAGCAGCAGATGCGCGAGTCACTCGTTTACTCCCTTCCCTCACAGCAGGCACCCCATCAACACCCCTGTCACCAGCAACGGATTTGAAAGGGGATTTCTTAATACCATTCATCGCACCACCTGTTGTTTCTTCCTCTCCCTCGCCCTCTCCCTGGCCCCCTTCCCCGCCCTGCCCCTGCTTCTGCCCATTCTGAAGCCCCTGTGCCTTCTTCCTCTTGCCTAAGGCAGCTTCCAAGCCACTCACACTCGCATCAGCGCCTTCAACACCCCTCCCGCCTTCCCCCTGAGCCATCCCTTCCCCCCTCCCTTCCGCCCTCCCTTCCGCCCTCCCATCAGCTCTCCCGCTCTCCTTGCTCTTTTCCTTGCGTCCTGCTGCCTTCCCTCCCTTCAATATCCCACCTGCACCCCGCGCCTCTCCCCTTTCCTCCCGTTGCTCTTCTTCCTCCTCCCCAACTGCTGCTGCCATTCGGGAGTCAAGAACAACACGAACCTCTGCCACTCCATCTCGCTCCTCCAAACCCTCTTGCATGCTCTTCCCTTTCCCCTTCCCCTTTCCTCCACTCCTCCTCTCCCTCTCCCCACTTCCTCCCCCTTCCGTCCCACCTCCACCCCTCCTCTCTCCCCCATTCCCGCCTTCCAAATCCCCATCCGCTTCCCTCTTTCCCCATTCTTCTACCCCCCTCTGCTTCTTGCCCTCCCCTCCCTGCTCCTCCCCTTGCGTCTCCACCAGCCCCTCCCCCTGCCCCTGCGCCTCCCCCTCCCCCTCCCACCCCCCCTGCCCCTGCCCCTGCCCCTGCCCCTGCCCCTCCTCCTGCTGCTGCAGCTTCCTCTGCAGCCTCGCCGCTAGAGGAGACAGGCTCATCCTCTTCTTCCGCTCACTCCGCACACTCTCCAGCTCCCTCTCTCTCTCCCTCTCCTCCTCCTCCAAGCACCCCTTACACGTCCAAGCACTCACCTCCAGCACGTTTTGAAACAGCATGCCCGCGCAGTCGAAATGAAACATCTCTCCACACCCCTCGCACGGGAACAACGGCCCTGCATGCCCCCCTGTGGCCCTGCCTTTGCCCCCTGGTCCATGCCCGCAAACTGAACACACCAGCACCACACACCGCTTCCTGCCACTGCCGATGGGGGTACCCATGCCCATGCCCATGCCCATACCCGTCCGCATGCCCATGCCCACAGGTGTACCTGGGGGTGCTGCTGCTCCCATGCCATTACCGCTCTCCCCACGCCTTGCCATGGCCCCCAACCCCGCCCCTGCGTCACCTCCATTCAACCGTGCATCAGCTCCTGCTCCTCTCGCTTTCTCTGCTACTTGCTCTCCCTCCGCCCCTGCCGCAACTCGTGCCTCTTCCTGTGCCTCTGCCCCAATCCCTGCACGACCTTGCGCTTTATCCTTCCCCTCAGCCTTCCCCCCAGCCTTTGCCTTGGGAGGGGTCTGCCTCTCGGCTGCTGCTCCTTGCATGTCCGGAGCACGCCCATTGCCTTCCGCCTGTCTATCCTCCTTCCTCACTTGAAGGAACCGGAACAGCACGCGCTCCTCCTTCTCCTGCCCCTCCTGCTCCTCCTGCCCCTCCTGCTCCTCCTCCTCCTGTTCCTCCTCCTCCATATCACCATCAACTTGCTTCTCCCTGTCCCCTGTCTTCTCTCCCCCCTGCCTCCCCTCTCGCTGCTCCCTGCCTCCCCTGCCCTCCATGCCCCCCCTTTCCTCTCTCCCTTCCCTCTTGTCCGTCCCCTTCCTAACCCCATTCTCACGTTCAAATTCCTCTCTCACTCCGCCGTTTCTCTCCACTCCCATATCCTTCCCACCCCCCTTCCCCCGACTCCCCTCTACCCCTCCAACTGCCCCTCTCCCTTCACCTCCTCCGTCCCTCCCATCCCCTCCCTCCCCTTTCTCCCCCTCCTCCCCTTCCTCCCTCCCTTCATCCGCCTCCCTTTCTTCATCCTCCTCCTCCACCTCCTCATACTCCACGCGTCTCACATGTCGCCGCCCAGCCCATGGAACCTTCCCCTTGTGATCTCTCCCACTGCTCCTCTTCCCCCGCTCACCTCCTTCCTTGCCCTCTCGCCCCAAACCCTCTCCTCCTGCCTCTGCCTCTGCTTGCGTCTCCTTAGCACGTGTTTCTCCCGCTGCTGCTTCAGCTGCCCCTGCTTCTCCTACTACTGCTGCTCCTGCACCTCCTCCTGCACCTCCTCCTGCGCCTCCTCCTGCACCTCCTCCTGCGCCTCCTCCTGCACCTCCTCCTGCGCCTCCTCCTGCACCTCCTCCTGCGCCTCCTCCTGCACCTCCTCCTGCACCTCCTCCTGCGCCTGCTGCTCCTTGAGTTCGCCTCTTCTTCTGCGCCCCATCCATCTCCGCTGCTGCCTCTCCCCCGCCTCCCCCTGCCCCGCCAGCATACGCATCCACAGTAGCTTGCCGCGTTCGCAGGAACACAAGGGGAAGCTTCCTCCCCTTGGAATGCTGCAGGGGAAAGGCAGTGAGCGAAGGGACACAGACGAGCTTTTTAGGCGCCTTACACGAAGCAGCAGGAGAACAGGAGGGGTTTCGAGCATGTTGACAATAGGGAAAGGCAGTGCGTGGGACGAAAACGGGCAGGAAAGTCAGAAGTGGACTTTTATCCCTGCTTGCTGCTGCTCTACTCACCTTTGTTCCAACCAGCAGCATCAGCGGTATGATCACCAAGCAGCAGCATTAGAGGCAGCAGCAGCAGCATTAGAGGCAGCAGCAGCAGCAGCAGAAGAGAAGCAAAAGCAGCACTACCATGACTAAACTGGGAGCAACAAGTTAGGAAGGAGTGGAACGCACTTGCCCCACTGTCACCCCTGCTCCCTGCTCCGCTCACCTGCTTATGCCCTGGTTGCTTCTCCCCGACAGCAGCACCTCCAGCATCAGCGCCACCGCCAGCAGCATCAGCGCCACCGCCAGCAGCATCAGCAGCAGTACCATTGACAGCAGTGCGATTGAAAGCAGCACCATCCCCACCCTTCCTTCCGCGTCTCTGGTTCCTCTCCATCTCCTCCTGCTCCTCCTCCTGCTCAGCCCTGTGCTTGCCCCCCTGCGCCATACCACCATCCACCTCGTCCTCCCCTGCCCCTTCCTCCGCCCTTGGCATTGCAAGCCCTTTCAGCCCCTTCCTGCCATCCGCTCCCCCCTCACTCCCCGCCTTCCCTTCACTGGCTTGCTTCGCTTCATCCCCCTCCTCGCTCAGACTGACCTCCCGCATGGGCCTAGTCACCTTCTGCTTCTTCCTGCTCCGCCTGCCACCCACACCTTCTCCCAAACGAGGAGCAGCAGCATCAACAGCAGCAGCACCAGCATCAGCAGCACCAGCACCAGCAGCAGGGGCAGGAGCAGGGCGAGCAGCACGGTCGGCAGGAGAATCAGCAGCAGCAGCAGCAGTAGCAGCATGATGGGGAGGCGTGGGCTGGGGTGCAGAAGAGTTGGGTCGAATCTTCCAGTGACGCAGTTGCTGGATGGGCGGAGAGGAAAAGACAGGGCAAAGAAAGAGATGAGCGTGAGCGATGGTCGAGAAGGTGGGCTGGGCACTGAAAGGTTGCGTCGACAGCCCATGGGCAAACAATAAGAAAGACCTTCAATTTACTGCATGGCACCTTACGTCACGCAGCCACGGGTTTCACAGTTTCACTCACTCACCAGAGGCAGCAACATGAGAGGGGGAAGCAAGCCCCCACGGAGGTCCACTTGTCCATGTGTGCATGCAACTATCGGTTCACAAGCTCAGCAGAAACTGTCCCGCTCAGTAAAACAATCGCCACTGTCCTGAAGGTTAACGTCCAACACGCCTGAGTCGACTCAACACTCACCAGGGGCAGCACGGGCGGAGGCAGCAGCGCAGCAGCAGCCCAGCCCAACAGCTATATATTGGGGTGACCTTTGAGAGTTCTTAAAAGAAACTCACCTGGGGCAGCACGGGGGGAGGCAGCGCAGCAGCAGCCCAGTCCACTAGCTCCTGCAGGTGCGCCCACACGTCCTCCTGGGGGGAGCGCTTCCTGCACCGCTTTGCCACGCCCGCCACACTGCCGTCCGCCTCCTGCACAAGAAGAGGGGGTTGGTAGTGCGGCGAGACGAAGGGGGGAAGGTGGAGCGGGGGCGAGGAGGGAGTGGAAGTTGACGTGAGAGGGCAACCCAGTTAGCATTGGGAAGACAGCAAGTGTCTGTTGCAGTCAGTCGGAGCGCTGCAGTAAAAACAGGAAGGGGGAAGGAGGCAGGCTGAAGGGGGTTCGGGGAAGGAGGCGGGGGAACGGAAGCAGGTGGAGGGAGGAAGGTGGAGGAGGCAGGTTACGGCAACTGAGTGACAGGAAGCGGCACATGGTGAAGAGCTAACAACCAAGCAAAACGTGACCTCCCACCCATCCCACCTGATGCATCGCCCTAATAGATGCCTTCCTGCGCCCGATTTCCCGATACAGCACCTCCTCTTCCTGCTCCTCCTCCTTCCTCGCCTCCTCCCCTTCCCCTTCTCCGTCCTCCTCCGCACGCCCATCTGCTGCTGCTGCGCCTTCACTGTCCTCTTCTCTCGCCGTCCACACGCTCTCCCCGAATTCCTCCACTGCAGCAGCTACCGCCTCTCTCCCTGCTGCTGAGGCTGCTGCGGCTCCCGCTGCTGCTTTCCTGGTGGTCCGGGTTGGGGTTCCGGTGTCACCTGGTGGGGGCTTGGGGAGGGACGACAGGAAGGACTGGGAGGGGGAGGAGGGCGGAAGGAGAGGCGCATTGCAGAGAGCGCGCATGAAAAAAGAGGGGGGTTGGAGTGGAGTGGAAGTAGGGGAAGGGAAGAACGGAGTGTAACGAGGTTACAGTGATGCGGTGCATTGCGAAGGTATAAACTGACAAAAGTGAACGAGCGGGAACATCAAGGGAGAGAGGGTGATGGAGCGGGATGGGGAGGGGAGTGAAGGAAGAGGGGGGTGGGGGGGGATGGGAGAGAGATGATGGAGAAAAGCGAGGGAAAAAATGCCAGTGGATCAATAAGGATTAGAACTGTTCACACATCCCATCCCATCGCACTCCATCCCATCTTACCGCAGTGCAGCACTCGACCACTATCCGCACCCATCGCGGAACCCCTTCCTCCCCATCGCCCTCCGCTCCCCGCCCTTCCGTCTTCCCCCTCCGCCTCTCCGCGAGGTCCCTCTTCCGCGCGAGCACGCGGATGGATGAGAGCAGCCCGGGGGGGAGCTCGCGGTCTTCAAGCGCGTCGCGCAGCATGGGAAGGACGTCCCGCAGCACCAGCGCGCTGTCGCCCCGCAGGGGGCGGGGAAGGATTTCTGGGGAGCGGGGAGCGGGCCGGGGGGAGGCGGACCGGGGGGAGGCGGGAGGGGGACGTGGACCGAATGCGGTAGGGTGGGCTAAGGAAGTGAAAGGCAGACCGCAGGAGGAATACGAGAGGAGCATGAACGCGCTCACTAAAACATGGCTATTGCGCCTCAGTCGTTGTTCGACTTCGCTGCCTTGCCTCCTTGCCGCATCGCGGCCAATCACAGCGACACGCAACAACAGATGCAATCGCTGTCGCGTCGATTAACGAGCGAGCCTCTCTTAGCCAGGCCAAGCACATCCCGCTCCTCCCGTCCTCGCCTGGTCCAGCAAAACGAAGAGACTAGTAGCATGCGAACCGACAAAAACTCCTCCACGGTACCCTTATATTGTTAAGATATCTTGAAGGGGTGGGGCATGTGCGACTGTGCAAGCGCATCAAAACTCGAAGGACGGTACCAGTAAATGCATTTACCTCGGAAGAGCCAGGGCGATATGCCGTGAGAAACGCTAAAGAACTCCGCCACCCATTCAGCTGCTAGGCCCCTCGCCGCCTGCTGTTCCTGCTGCTGCTGCGGTGGCGGCGGCGAGCACGGGAAACGCGAGCTCGACGCAGCCACGGGTGTCGTAGCCATGGGTGCGCGGCGCTCGACGATACACTCAGATGCGGTAGTCGAGGCAGATAAAAATGAAAAGAAAATGAAAACGTCGAAGTAGTATCTTCTCCTTCATAGCGAGATGCAGCGCCGAAGATGGTAAAGAAAATCGTGAGGAGGCTGATAGGTCCTTGGCATTTGCAACATCGAAACCTTGACTTTCGTTTTCTCCCAACGAGTTTCAGCCTCGCTTCTCTCACTTTTATGCTTTGGATTTTGCGACTGCGAGCCTTGTTGGTGGTGGTGAGGTCAGAGGTGCGAGGTCAGGTCTGCGTAGGCTGGGCAGGCTCGGCAGCAGAGCGAGAAATTGGAAGTTTGGGTTTCATTTCAGGTTTGAGTGTCTCGAGGGGCTGGGGAGCTAGGTACGGATTAGGTTCGGCTCAGATTTTTGGCGCGCAAGCTGGGGAGCGTCCCTCTTACGCTCCCGCGCTTTTCTCAAGGTTCAGGCGGGGATGAGCCCGAGGGCATGCTGTTGGGGCAGGAGGCTGTGAAGAGAGTGACTGTTCCATTCCCGAAGGCATGCCGATGTGACTGTATCGAGCAGGATCGAAATAAAGTTTCCCGATATGAGCCCACTTAGGTTTGTTGCATTATGAGTCCACTCAGTTATTTTCCCGTTTTTCAACGTCACGCCACGGTGTTGAACCACCGTAAAATACCGTGTAGAACCTCTCTCGAAGTTCAATCTTCAGCAAACGTTTGCCACTGATGCACCACGTCTCGGTTGCGGGTTCTTCAGTCTTCTTTCGGGGGCGAGTAGATTCGCTGTCAATTTCTGTCACTGGTTGAGCAGGTACATAAACCTACCGGCATAGGGTCTGCCAGTTACCCGTTGAAGCGTCGCACGCAGGCGGAACCATCGTCGCGCTTCCCGTCAGCAGGTGCGAAGAAGAACGCCGTTCCTCGAGATGATTCTCTGCTCGCCTCTCTCTCGACTCCACCGGCCTCCTTCCAGTCTCGGGGATCTTCGAGCGTTTGTGCCCATTGCCGGGCACCAGCGGCACCAGTCGTCTCCCTGCCTGGAGCCACGTGGCGGTGCTTGCGATTCGCGCTTGTTCGCGTCAACTTTCGTGCAACAGCCGTTGGTCACGAAGAGAGGGTCGTTCCCGGTTCAGCGGAGCTCGCATCCAGCTGCGGTGAAGGCTCCCGCACGGGGAGTAGCGAGGGCTTTCTTTTCTCGTAGCAAGGCAGGCAATATGGCGGATGGAGGCGGCTCTGCGGCGAGCCAGTCCAAGGTGAGTGGGAACATGCTCTTCATCTCTCGAACTTCTGTACGTGATAGAAACGGGGGTCTCGAGGTGGCAGGAAGCAAGGCAGTGAACAGAGATTCTTGCGCATTCGTTGGCAGAGCCACCTGCCATTGTTCATGGAACATGTGCTTGCAAAATACCTAGGTTTTCTACCAACGCTCATTCACATTCAAATCAAGCATGCTTGTTTCCTCCTATTGGCCCTCCTTCCAGCTACTTTTGGTGGGGAGCTGAGCCGGCAAGAATCTGGTTGGGCGATGGTGGTGGAGGTGACTAGGACGGGTGCAGGCTGGCACCTTGAATCCCATGTCTCCGTTGGATCTTTCCCCATACATCCCTCCTGTCGTCGCCTCAGGTGGTGGTGGTGACCGGGGCCACCAAGGGTCTGGGCCGCGCGTTGGTGGTGGAGCTGGCAAAGCGCGGCCACAGGGTGGCGGGGTGTGGGAGGGATGTGAAGCAGGTGGAAGTGGTGCAGCGATTGCTGGATGACACTCGCGTGCCTGCTACTACTGCTGCTGCTGCTGCTTCTCCTGCCCAGCACCTTATGGTTGCGGTAGACGTGGTGAGTGTTGTGCTGGCCTATGGCTCAACTAAGTGGTGCATTTGGAGTGGCATGTGTCTTTAAAGCCCGCGTCCCAAATTGCGGACCGCGAGGGTCAAGTTTTTAAAACTTGACTAAGTTGAGTGTCCAAGCTTTTGAAAGTCACGCACCTGCAATTTGGGACTTTCGAAGACAGATTCACTCACCAGGGGGGAAACCGAGGGTTGGCTGGGTTTCGCGAAAAAAACGAACCTAGACGAAATTGCGAACTCTTGCCAAAGCCTACACCAGAAAAACTCCCTCTGGTCAACTTTTAAAAGCATGAACAACTTCGGCCGCCGGCTTTAAGCTGAGCAACGTTTAAGTTTTGCCACAATTTCGTTGGTCCTGAAGTCTGATTAATTGCAAGAAGTGATGGTTTCAGTGTCCTCGTGTGCGTGCAGGGATCAGATGGTCAAGTCAAGGCCTTTGCTGAAAATGTCATCTCAACTATGGGAGTACCCGATATAGTAGGTCAGCGTCCCTTAACCCGTCTTTCCCTATCTCTTTGCCTTTTCGCCTTTAAGTACCTCATGTTTCAAACTCTTGGGTGAATGCTCCCACATCCTGTCCTCCCTTCTCCCCCATTTCCTCCCCATGTCCACATCACTCACTCACGTGTTTCGATGTGTACTGCAGTGAATTGTGCAGGGCTGATCAACGCGAACAAGAGGTTGTGGGAGGTGCCATGCGAGGAGGTGGATCGGGTGCTGGACGTGAACATCAAGGGCACCGTCAACGTCATCCGCCACTTCGCCCCCGCCATTGTGGAGAGGCGCCACGGGGTGTTTGTCAACTTCTCATCTGGATGGGGCCGCTCTGTTGCTGCGGAGGTGAGCCGCTGTGCCTGTTGAGGAGCAATGGAATCGATTCTACTGCTGTTTGTCAGGATCACTATTGCATCACCAAGTTCACTTATGCCAGTGACCATGTATGCTGGTTTGATAGCTCCCTTACCAAGGCTCCTGGACTTCTCTTTGCCTTACCAAGAGGGTCCCCATTGTTTGTTGTCATGGGCTATGAGAGAGTGAGCATATGCTGTTGGCTTGAAATTGTTTCCGGGTCCTCCTGTCCTCAGCACTATGTCTCCCCTCCTCCCTGCATCAGGTGGGTCCGTACTGCGCATCCAAGTGGGCGGTGGAAGGTCTGAGCAAGTCGTTGGCACTAGAGCTGCCTGCTGGTTGTGTGTCTGTGGCTCTCAATCCTGGAGTCATCAACACCGCCATGCTGCACTCCTGCTTCGGTTCCGCAGCTTCCATGTACCAAACGCCCGAGGAATGGTGAGTGGAATCTAGGTACACGTTCGTTTTTGTGATGTGGCTGGACTGAGCAAGTTGGAAGTGTTACATTTTAAAAGTGATGCCCATTCAGGGGCTGGCTGTGTGTATATGGCGTGAAATGGTGTTCTCAGTGCATGTTTTTACTGGTTATTTTCTTTTATTCGCCTGCAGGGCCCCCCGGTGTGCTTCTCTCATACTTGGCTTGAAGCCGTCTGACAACAGTGCATCCTTGACAGTTTGATTAAACGTACAAGGCACATGCTTTTACGGGTGTGCATAGGTGTGATGATTGAACAAAAGGCAGTCTTGATGTGTGGGTTTGTTGTACTGTACGTTGGTGTTGTGAGCGTACATGTGGCAACACTTGGTAGCGTAAGCAGCACCCATACAGAACGCAAACCCTAAAAAACTGGCACCTGGGCCTGTGGCTATTGAGGACGGGGCTGTCTTTACTATTGCCGTGGCATGCCCAATTTTGCTCTTTATTCATATCCAGAAATGTCCATGAAAGTTTCACGGTATTGTTGTCGCACGTACCGTACCGCATGTCGTGGATGTTGTCCGACTGGATGACAGATTACCGGGTTTGCCTCACTTGTCGAGTAGCAAGGCAACATATTGGTGGTGCAGGCAGAATCATTGGACAATGGCGCCCAATGGTGCACACCATGGAAAAAAAGTTGTGAAAAGCACTCGTTTTCTCTCCCATCATGGCCTTTTTTTCACAACCTACCATATCAAGAAGAATTCTCACTGACACTCATGTCCAGTGAAATGTACTAACATTCAGACTGCTGAAGATAACGATGGCATGTTGGTACAATAAATAAAGTATGCCACTTTATTGTTATAATGGGGTTATTGAGTGTTCACACTTTGATAAATTTTGGTTTTGGGTCATCCCACCTGGACATAACACGATAATTGGCACAGCAGGTTTGAGCGGATCAGCCCGAACAAGGTTCCACATCGAATAATGAACCACGTCAGACTTCTCAGAACCAGAACTGTGAAGTTCGGCAACCCTCCGAGTCTACGTGTAGCGCGTCTCGGTTACTGACGTGCCTTTCGATCAGCCTCGTTAGGCACTGATCGCCATGCGGCATTTGAGCTTCATGCGGCTCGAGAGTCCACAGCTGTGCATTTTTACTGGACGGTCTGGAATTGATTTTCTATTTTTTTTTGCATCGCACAGAGACAAGAGGAAATAAAATAAACCGATCAGCCTCAATACGTAAGTAAATGTTTTGCCTCTCCGTTTGGCAATGTTTACCCGGTTCTGGAAATTTCAACTCTTCTGGGGTTGGCCCCTCCGAATCTCCAACCGTCCCTGATTGCAATCGCAAACCAAGCACGGTGTGCGGAGTTCCTCCAAGACACTTCGTTCTCCGCGCCCCCCGTGACCCGTCGTTCTTCAGCTGTGCGTTCTTTCCCCCCTTCGCTTCCTCCCCCTCCCCCAACCCACGCGAAAATGTCACCCCGGAAACTCATTCACCGCGTCGCGAGTTCGTCTGCTTCCTCAATCAATCAAGCTACCAAGCAGCACACATTCCCAAGCCCACGGGAACTCCGCCACATTCCCAATTTCTCCACCTTTCCGCAGAGTGCCCCACCTATTTCCCCCTCATTCCGCAACCCCTCTCCGCATCATGCAAGCGGTTTCCTTGCGCCTATTCGCCTCCGACAATATCCCAAGCCCCCCTTCTCACATCGCGCCCCTCCCCTTTATTTCCTCGAGCGCCAGTCCCCCTCTACCCAAACCTCTCCCGCTCTTCTCTCCCCGCACTCCCTCCCGTCCCCCCCCTGCTCCCCCTACCTCTGCCCTAGGCCCAGCAGCAGGAAGTCCCTAATCAACTCTTGCACCCTTCAAGCTACCACCTTCAGACGTGTAGTCACGCGCTTCGTCCGTTTTTTCTCAGTTCTCAGCCATCTGTGCCGCGGTGCGCACGCCTGTGAATATGTGCAGAGGACCAATCGCAGCAGCGGAGCTGCAGGGGGGGAGGTTTAGGCAGCCATGGTCCAAGTTCGCTTTCCTCCCTGGTCAGCTTTTTCCTTCTGACGTGCCGTGTGGCCTCCCAGACGAGGCCCTCGCCGAGTTTCTTGCGGAAGCGTCGACGAAATCGGTGAGCCTGGTCCCGCAATCTGATCATATTGTCGCCGGTCGCATCTGTCAGCGCAAATTCCATCCCGTGTATCGTCTTGAATGCCTTTCCGAGGTGCCGCGTATCGCCAGTACCATATCTGATCCCTTCTCCTGCGCGCTTCGCCCTTGTCGCTGCAGAGCAACCATCAAGACAAGGGTGGGGAGAAGCTATCAGAACTGAACCTCCCTGGTCTCGACCCGCTGGCTCCGCGCATTCCCACCGCCGCCAACGGCAAGGCCTCCGACGCGCCTTGTCCTCGCGCTGGCGACGAGGACGAAGAAGGCGACGATGACGACGACGACGATGACGACGATGGCGACGATGGCGACGACGACGACGATGGCGACGGCGATGGCGACGACGAGGAGGCAGAGGACGACGACGGTGATGACAACAAGGGGGATGATGGCGGTGAGGATGATGCGGACGGGGATGGCGGGGAGGAGGGCGGGGAGGAGGAAGGAGACGGGCATGAAGGGGAAGGGGACGAAGAGGACGGCGATGAGGATGTGGAGGAGGAAGGGGACGAAGAGAACGGCGATGGCGATGGGGACGGGGAGGATGGCGACGAGGAGCAAGGGGATGAAGGGGACGACGACGGCGACGAGGGGGATGACGATGACGAAGTTGATGCTGGTGACGACGACGACGACGACGACGACGACGACGACGACGACGGTGACGGTGACGACGACGGTGACGATGACGAGGACGATGACGATGATGATGAGGACGCCCCTGCGCCTAAGAAAGCCAGACATTGACTCTGCGCCCATCTGTCTTCCTCCTTTCCACGTCTATCGCGCATCTCCCCGCGCGGCTCCGCCTACCGCTCTCCTCGTCGCATATCTGCCACGATCCTTCCCATGTGTCGCATAGGACGCACCGGCTCTCACCTTCCACTGATTCTCGCGACTCGAATCGCGATCCGCGACTAACTGGCGCTCAAGCGCAGGTTTGGCAGGCGGGCTCCTTGCCAGACGTATGGCCATGGTGCTCGCCGCCACTCACGCTTCTCCCAAATCCAACATGCGCCCATCTGGGGCACGCAGTTAGCCCTCCTCTCGAGCCCCTTCACCTGCCAGTCCTTATGTCTCTTCTCCCTCCCGCTCTCTCCTTCCGCCCCTAACCACCCTAATCGCTCCATGGACTTTCAATTTGTAAGTCCGCCCCTTCATGAGCGTTGCAGGTTTGCTCAGAGCAGCCATAGATGCAATGTTTGCTTGACCTGATTTGAACATGGCTTGTACTAGGTAGAGAATCAAGGATTCTTGCATCCCTTGAAGCTTACATCTGACTGAGGCGTCTCCTTTCTTTACAAGACCATAAGGAACCTGATCAATGCTGTATAACTTGATGCAGGATTGTCCAGTTGTTTCATTTCACACAGAGCTAGTTACTCATCCCCTAAGCTACCAGCTTATTCACTGCTAGTCCTATCACAGGGCCCCATTTGTCAGCGGCCTGCATGTGTTGATTCAGATCCTTCCAAAGCTCAAGTGTAATAATTGTGGTAAAGTCAGCACCTACACCTGCTCCTGACCCAGGAGCGTCCCAGCCTCTGCATTGGTGCTTCCCTGCCAACGCTTAGAACACAGGGCCCTCTGGAAAGACCAATAGGTGGACACAGGGGGTGCAGGGGCGAGGGGAAAGGGAAAGGGGGAAGAGGATGCACAAGTAAGAATCCAGGGGGTTGGGAATGAGAGTGACTGGTGAGAAAAACAACGATGGGATAGGCTGTGAAGGAGCAGCATGCACATGGCAGTGGTGCAGGGACATGGAGTGGCAGTGCTAAAGGCAGCAAGCACGTACCATCAGCACCATCGTCTTCATCCAGGTACTCATCGTCATCATCAAACCCAAAGTTCTGAAAGCACATTAGGAAAGAGAACAACGGCGTGGAGGGAAGAACGGTAAGGTCGGTGAGGCAGTGCCAGAAAGCTAGGGAAACGTAAACTGGGGGGGGGGGGCGGGGGGGCACAGAGCAAGCAGGCAAGTGAGCGAGCGGCATAAATGTGGGGTGTGGAGAGCTGCCATACTTGAGCGTAGTCATCCTCCCCTATCTCCTCTTCCTCTTCTTCCTCCTCCACCTCCTCATCGTCCTCCCCCTCCTTCTTCTCTTCGTCCTTGCCTTCCCGGTCCTGCCATCCCACACGTAATAGCACGCTGTTAGCACGCTGTCATGTACAGCCACACACTGCACAGCATGCAGCATGCATCACTGCACTGCACCACTGCAATTCCCTCGTCTTTACACGACTGCATAGGCCATGACGGCCGGGAAAAAAAGGGTCTCACCGCTGCGTTCTTGTCTAGCTTCTGCTCCAGTGTTGCAAGCTGGTCCAGACGGTTTAGGTCTGCACACATGCAGGAAGGGGAGACGGGAAAGGCACAGGGACACACAGCAGCGAAACAAAGGTGAGAGAGGACAATTGCGGCAAGGTTAGGCACAGTGTAAGAAGGAATGAAGCTGGTGTGGGTGTAATACGCAAAAGACGAGAAGAGGAGGGGAGCGAGGGAGAAAAAGGGAGGAAGAAACAAGGAGAGAGAGAACACAAGGAGGCGACTGACCATTGGCAGCTGACCCCTTGCCGACCACCCATGCGTTGCTGCTCTTCTTCCTAACTTTCTTCTTGCCTCCTGCATGTACCCCCACACAGCAAAGCCACAGATGTTGGTGATAGCATCAGCACAGTAGGTCCCGAGAGAGAAAGAATGTAAGCATGCAAACTGGAGCAGGATTGGTCACAGTGGGGATGGCATTTGCTTGGCTGTGGTTGCAGCAAATGCATGGTGTGATGGCACACCCACCCAACACTAGCTTACCCTTGCCATGGCATGGGAAGGAGCATCGCCCCATCAACCACACCACATAGCATCACGTCACACCCATGCCATCCCATGCCATCACGCCAGAGCGCACCAGCAGAGAGGAGTTCAGCGGGGTAGTGAGCGATGGAGAGGTCCATGACGTCGGTGAGAGAAGCACGGGGCGCAGAGGACGAAGAGGCGGTGGCGCCGGAAGAGCCGCTGTGGCGCTTCGTGTACGCTGCTATGTCCGCTGCCACTCCCTCTGCACCGCACTTGGCAGGAAGTTGAGGACGAGAGGGGCGACCGGGAAGGGAGGAGAGGAAGAAGGGGTAGACGGGGAGAGGAGAATAGTTGGGAAAAGAAGGGGTTGGGTAGACAGGTGGTATAGGTGAAAGGGCGGAATGGGGAGCTGAGGGATGGCGGACAACCATGTGAAGGGGGCCCTGACTTGTGCTGCATTTGCACATGCTCTTCCTCTCTCCTGCTCACCCACCTACCACATCCTATCCCGCTTCCTTGCCCCCGCGCTGCCGTCCCACCCGTCCCACCCCTCCTTCTCCCCTTCCGCCTTCCTTTCCCCTCCCCACACTCTTCCCCCTCTCTCTTCTGCCACCTAACCCCCACCTCCCGAGTGCCCCTTACTGTCGGGCGGAGGGCGGTCGACGTAGTAGGCGGAGTAGCGCCAGAATGACGCCATGCGCCGCCGCCGCTGCAGCATCGCCTCGTCCTTGGGAGCGATTTCGGGCAGCTCGGGCAGCATTTCCACAGGCTGGCGGGCAGAGGAAAGAGGAGAGCAGCATCAGGGGGAGAAAAGAGGGGATCGGGCGTGGAGAGATAAGGGTTAACGTCGCGGGACGCAGCGCGACGGCAGAGAGAAAGTTCGTCAGGACGACCACGCGCTGCGAGGCCGTCGCAGTAGCAAACGACGAGCGCACGTGGACGGGAAATCAACCCGTGCGCACCGGAAACAATGGCGGGGGCCCTTCGTCGCGACCCGCAAACACGATCGACCCCTCATCGTCCCGTGCCACTGCACCAGCCCCGCCGCCTCTCCCTCCGAACCCTCCGCGGCCTCCGCGTCCCCCTCGCCCCCCGCGCCACGCCATGTTCCCCAACTACTGGGACCGCGCGCCCTCGGCGAGGCGAAACGTTATAGCGCGCTCATGTGGATAGCGACCACCTGGCACGAATCCCGCTAACCGCTCACTTGGATTTCCAAAGAGTGCGTCAGAAGTTTAACTACCGTCCTAATCTGCCAGCTGCAGATCTATAACGCGAGATTTTCTGAACCGCATACCCACGAGGAGGATCTGTGAGGTTCCTACACTTTTGCTGGTGGCAACTTGCGACTCGAGGTATTTGAGGTACGAAGTGTTTAGGGCTTCGGGTTTACGATTCATAGTTCAGGTAACCGTACAGAAATTACTTGAAAAACTGATTGTAGTTTAGTCGTTGTTAAAGCATCGCTTGTTCATATTGAACAGACTCAGTATCGAAGACACCGGATTATTTTTGCTTCCAAACCAATTGAGTGCAGATGAAGTTTCTGTGAAGAGACAAGAGGTTCTATACCACGTGTCACACGCTGGTACGACGACAGCGCCTTGACGAGATGTGATTCCTTCCGGTGATTCTACTTCTTCTCGTGGTAGTCTGTGGCGCATTAGTCCCTTACGACTTTCGCGTGCCACAGGCCATTTAGTTACCATCAGTTTCTCCTGCCAACCACAATGAACCTGTAGAAGTCACGAAGGTCGCAAAAGCTTTCCTTCACAGTTAAGTTTTCGCAAAAACGGGTCCTCGGCGGGGAAACCGCATGTCGCGAAGAGCGCTGGGGTTGGAAAAGGAGTCGGGATGGGAGTGCATGTACCATCCGCGGCATTTACTCTTGCGGAACCTGGGAGTGGTCCCGCAAACCAAGGTCAGGAGTATTCCATTCCCCTTCACCAGGATATAAAAGAGCCGCAGAGGTTCTCAGCTAGTCATTTGCCACCATTTGCCACCATTTCAGACTCCCAATTTCACGTTTTCATACTTTTTGCGGCACCAACCGAGCCAATGGATGTCATGCGGGTATCCTGCCGGGTGATTTACGGCAACAAAGAAGGCTCCGTGCACATGTGCCTTCCTATTTACATCGACGCCCTGGGAACTTGCCACGCTGTGCACGGCGACAACGAGCTGCAGGGCTCCATCGAGGAAGCCATTATCAGAAGCATTTGTGAAGGCGTGCACAGCACGGATGCGGCGACAGCAGCGGCGCTGAAGAGGATGATGGAACGGGTGGTGGAGAGGGCGTTGCAAGTGGAAGACATTGTGGAGGAAATCGTGGAGGACGCCTCTCAGGATCGTAAGCACCTTAGTCGGCAATAGTCTACTTGCTATCGCCTATCGTGTTCTCCACGATCTCCCGAATCCAATAATATGCGCAGCTCTGCTTGAAGTTGTCAATACACACTTCAGCAATTTTCAGAATCTGATTGGTATCAATGTATTTCCAGAATGAGTACAAACAGGTTTATAGTCAAGCAAGACACAAAATGCGATTCGTAACTTCACTTGTTTCCCAAGTAATCGCGTGCGCCTCGTTTCACCCTTAGTCGCACACGCAACCGAACCGAATTCGGTGAACACTCCTCAAGACCGAATCCCGAACTTTCTCGAACGCGCCTTGGTCTCGAAGCACATTTTTCCCCTCGTCAATCTCATTCTCGATGCTTCTCCTTCTCTCTCCCTCCTTCTAGCACATTTCTTCTCGATTTCTCTCCCGCTTCTCACGCCGTAGCCTCTATTCCCCACCGTAGGCCGATTTCCACCGTTTCACACACGCGCTTCCATTTCGCCGTCATTCCGCCGTCGTAGATGCTTTCGCCTTAGGTTCCGTGGTTGGGCGAACCAACCCTAACAATCTCCCCTGTGGTTCGTCAACCACGAACACCACTCGCACTGCTCCCCTGCTCCTTGTAGCCTTCACAGGGTCTAAGTCGGCTTCACGCTCCCCTGCAGCTCCTGCACCTTGAACCTCTGCTTATGTGTCTTGTAGTTGAGCGCCTTGGCATCCAAACCTTGAGAGATTTTCTTATGCCTCTCGCTTCTCCTCGGCATCTTTACACCCAACACCTCTCGGGTCTCGTACCCTTCAACGCGTTCATCCTCCTTAAGCACTTGCCCCTTTGCAGTTGCATTCGCCTTCGATCCTTTCACCATGATGTCCCCTTTCACAGCTTCAACTCCCACATACTTCGCATTTACTGCTTCATCTTCAACCACGATCGCTGCTGCAAAAGTGTTGACATCGTCTCCATCTCCACCGTTTACTGCTGCTGCCTCCGTGATCACTATCTCCTCTTCCTGCTTCACTGCTGCCTCCACACTCGCAGCCATATCATCCGAGTCCTCACTCTCATCAACCTTAGTCAATAACTCCTCCAGTTCTCCCATCTCACCATACTCAGGATCCTCATAAATCTCATCCATATCATTCGTCGCGACCAAGTTCATCTCATAGAACCCGTCACTGAAGTAACCATCAGCATACTTCTCCCACTCAGGACCAAACACAGTCACATCACCACTGTCATAGAATATCTTGCACCCCAAGTCATCAAGCTGTGACTGACTGACCAAGTTCACCTTCAAATCCGCAACCAGCAACACACTCTCCAGTTTCACTACTCCATACGGACTCCGCAGCACCACGTCACCCTCTCCTGTCACTGGTAACTTTCCACTGTTACCTTGCAGTATATAATCCTCACTCGACTCCCTCACATTCTCCATCCAATCTAACCTGAATGTCATGTGACGCGTGCATCCGCTGTCCATGAACCATGTCGTCTTCTCACGTCCGTCCGTCTGCCGAACCTCCATTGGTAAACGCACCACGTTCGCAAGATGTGCTCCCCCCAAAATCGGATCCACTTCTTCCTTCTCCGCTTCCGCCACGTTAGCCTTGGCCTCCACGTTCTGCTGCTGCTCCTGCTTCAACGGTCCTTTGTAGTTACGGCCGTTGGGATTCAAGTAGCAATCAATCGCACGATGCCCAATTTTCTTGCAGTGATGGCACGCACCATTGAACCTTCCGTGTTGCTGTCCACCACTCCATCCCGCACCGTTCCCTTAGTAGTTTCTACTCCTCGGGTTCTCCACACACTCAAACGCACGATGCCCGAGTTGTCTACACTGGTAGCACGCTCCCGAGCTCCTTCCAGCAGCTGCCGCATTCACCAACGCAGGCTTCTCCTCCACAAAGCCCCTTGTAAACTTCTCCCGTCGCTTCTGATGCTCTCTTGCTCGCTCCAACGCCTGAAGCATGGCAATAAGCTTCGTCATATTCTCCGGTGGGTGGCAGATCAACGCCGGCCGCTCACCCGCCCAATCTTCCGGTAGACCGTTGACGATGTGCCCGATCATCGCCCGCTCGGTTTCCGGCTCGCCCATCGCAGTTAAGTCGTCGTTGTAGCTCCTCGCCATGTTGACATAGTCAATAATCTTCTGGTTCGGCTCCATGGTCATTAACAGCAGCTTCTTCCTTGTGTCGGCGATGTTTGCGTCCATATGCCCGAGGTATGTAGACTCCATGTAAGCCCATGCCGCCTGTGCAGAGTTCTCGCGCTCTGCAAATTCGTCCAAACCCACTGCAATCCCGTCAGCAACGGAATGACATAACTGAAAAAAACGCATGCTTACTCCTCTTCTTGTATTCCGCCTTTTCTTCATCCGATCTCGCCTTACGCGCGGCTGCGTCACCTTCTCCATCCGGTCGGTAGTACTCCCAAAAACCGACTTCCTTCGCCCTCCTTATGAACTTCAATCTCCACGTGATGTAGTGTTGGCCGTGGAATCGTTGGGCTTCACTGAGCCCCATGGTGGGCTTTGTCACCACCCCTCCTTGCGCTAGCATTTCCAGAAGTGCCTTCACTTGGGGATCTCCAATACTCACAGAGGAGCCCGAACTAGCTTCCGATTGTCCGCCGACCATCTCGAAAGCTTCGCTCTGCACTTAAGAATGCTTAAACGCCACTTAAACCAGCTCTGATACCAGTTCTCAGGATCGTAAGCACCTTAGTCGGCAATAGTCTACTTGCTATCGCCTATCGTGTTCTCCACGGTCTCCCGAATCCAATAATATGCGCAGCTCTGCTTGAAGTTGTCAATACACACTTCAGCAATTTTCAGAATCTGATTGGTATCAATGTTGTATTTCCAGAATGAGTACAAACAGGTTTATAGTCAAGCAAGACACAAAATGCGATTCGTAACTTCACTTGTTTCCCAAGTAACCGCGTGCGCCTCGTTTCACCCCTAGTCGCACACGCAACCGAACCGAATTCGGTGAACACTCCTCAAGACCGAATCCCGAACTTTCTCGAACGCGCCTCGGTCTCGAAGCACATTTTTCCCCTCGTCAATCTCATTCTCGATGCTTCTCCTTCTCTCTCCCTCCTAGCACATTTCTTCTCGATTTCTCTCCCGCTTCTCACGCCGTAGCCTCTATTCCCCACCGTAGGCCGATTTCCACCGTTTCACACACGCGCTTCCATTTCGCCGTCATTCCGCCGTCGTAGATGCTTTCGCCTTAGGTTCCGTGGTTGGGCGAACCAACCCTAACAACGCCGACAGACGTCGTGGCGTTCGTTCATTTATGATGCGCCTCCGGAGCTCTCACATGGATGAAAAAGGTCTGATATATACGTTCTGCTTCTTTTTTGAATTTATTCATTATTCTCTCTCTCTCTCTCTCTCTCTCTCTCTCTCTCTCTCTCTCTCTCTCTCTCTCTCTCTCTCTCTCTCTCTCTCTCTCTCTCTCTCTCTCTCCCTCTCTCTTCTCTTCCTGATGACCTAAGGTTGGGGCTTCAATGTTTTGCAGGGTTAGGGGGATTCTTATACGTATTCAATTACTGATTCTCGTTCTGTTTTTTTGCCTGCAGATGCACTGCGTCGCGCCATCCTTGCTGATCGTGAGCTCCGCCGTCGTGCTGCTGCTCTTCAGGTCTGTCCTACGGTCATTGTCATTTCTTTTTATACATTTTTCTCTTGGAACGTGCATTTGAATTGTCCTTTGTAGGAAGAGTGTTGACAACCTTCGTGTTTCATGTGTTGTGCTCTGCAGACTAACATCATGCCCGGGGTCTTCCTCCTTCCGCCTCCACCCATGACTCTGCTACTTCCGTCTAACACTCTTGTCTGAAGCTGCCGCATAACCACCTCTTACCATACTTAACTCCTTCGGATGCCAGAACACGTGTAGTAGCAACATGTGGAACGTGTGCTGCATATTTAAATCATAGCGGTTGTTATGTATAGGTCCCTTTTCTGTACCTATGTCTGATTGGCTATTGATAAATTCCATGGCTAATCAAGAAGTCAGCCAGAGAGTGGGGCCTACACGCGGGGAGACCGTGCTTAATAGGGCATCAGTGGGCCAGGGAGAGGTGACGTGATGGGGGACGATCCAAGGAGAGGCGAGAGAGGGGTAAGTACCAAATAAGTGACTAATCGGATGATTCACCACACAAAGCAGAACACATACTAATTGTAGTGTAGTGTAACATACGGTACCGTACCATGATTGTCTCCCAATGATGGCTCGTATTGGGAAATGATCATACCAATACCATTCATATGGTTTATGAGTATGTATGCACTCGTTCCTTCCATCATATGGTTACCCTGTCCACAATGAGCGTCCATGTGGACTCTTCTAGTGTAGATGAGAAAGTAGCAGAAGAGAGAAGATGGCGTAGGAGAGAAACGGCGGCTTGGAGTGGGATGCCAGCTTGGTATATCACGGCTGTGGAACAGGTTGGTAGAGGAAGAGACGGGAGGAGCGGCGCGAGGCATGGCGTGGCACGGCATGGGAGAGAGGCAGCATGCGCTCACATGGACATGGGGGAGTGGGAGGGGAAACAGATGCTGCACCACCCCAACATCCTGAGTGGGGCGGAGTGGGGCGGTGTGTGGCAGCTTGGAAGTGGAAGAGCAGGGAGGAGCGTAGCATGGCGCAGAGGCAGGCGTGTGAGAGCAGGTGGAAGAGCAGGTGGGTGGAGAGAGGCAGGGTGGCGGGGTCGGGGGAGGAGACGAGCGAGATGCTGCAGGGCTTGATTGTGGTGTGTTGAGGGGAAGGTGGGAGAGGGAGGGGAGAAAGCGACAGAGAGCAATGGAGGCGTGTTTGGGAGTTAGGAAGAGCATTCAGGGAAGGAGTGGCGGGGCATGGAGACTGCTGGCCCGGCCTCTTTCAATCGAAACATAGAATGGACGCATGATCACACAACTAGTCAGCAGCACATAGGAGTTTCAAAAGCACAGCTGCCACAACAAGCACGGACTGGAAAGCTTCTTGCCAGTCGAGCATATCAGTGAGCAAGGAGACATCCCCATAGGCCGTGCCCCACTGCCGCCTCTGCTTCTCCTCCTGCTGCTGCCGCTGCTGCCCCTGCTGCCGGCAGTCGTGCACTCAGTGGCAGTAGTAGCGCTGCCGTGTGCTGCTCAGCTGCTGTGCGTCCATTCCCTGCTTCTGCCTGCACTCACATAGCGCGCCGGGTGGACGGACGGATGGGAGAGAGAGGATGGGGAGGAAGGGGAGGAAGGGGAGGAAGGGGAAAAAGGGGAAAAGGGGGAAAAATGGGAAAAAAGGAGAAAGGGAGGGGGGAGGGGTTGGAGGGGGTAATTTGAAAGGGGACGAGAGAGACATCGGAGAATGAGACACAGAGGGTCGGGGGCGGAAGGTCAACGCGGAATAGCTCACAGCGGTGGGTTAGGAGAGAGTGCGAGAGGAAAGGAAGGTGGATGGGAGATTACCGTGGTGGCAGATGGGAGACGGTGGGTGGCAGGCAGTGGGTGGGGGAGAGTGAAGGCAATGGTGAAAAGGTGAGCAAGGAATGTGCGGGCGTGCATGCAAGAGGAGGTGAGGAGTTGTCATCAGTCCACACGAGTAAGGACTTGAAGCATACAGATGTGAAAAGGACAGCGCATCACATGCCAAGGCACAGTATGGACATCCCCCATTCCATATCTCACCCCATCCCATCCCATCCCATCCCATCCCATCCCGCCCCACCCTCTCCAAATCCCGACATACGACGAGAGCACATGCAGGCAGGGCGGGCAGTGCAGCAGGAGGTGCTGCAGGCGCTGCGTTGCCAGCTGAGGCAGTGGCAGTGCGTGGCTGGACCCACACGCGCTCATCTCCAGCAGCGATGCTGCCAGCGGGAGGAGGCGAAGGGGGGAGACGGGGAAGGGGGAAGAGGGGGAAGGGGGGAGCGGGGGAAGGGGGGATAGGGGGAAGGGGGGAGAGGGGAGAGGGGGGAAGGGGGGAGAGCGGGGGAAAGGGAGGTTTACAGAGCCTCAGAAACAGTGGCAGTGTGTGGATGGACCTACACGCGTTCATCTCCAGCAGCGATGCTGGCGGAGGGAGGGGGAGAGGAGGGAGGAGGAGAGGGGGGGAGAAAAGAAGGAAGGTGAGAACATGGGGGACGAGAAAGGGGGAGGATAAGAAGAGGGAGAATGATAAGAATGGGGGGAGGGGGTTGAGAAGATTGGGGATGAGGAGAGAATGGGTGCAGAGCAGAAATGGTCAACACATGGGATACAGCACGGTGCAGTGCTGTAGCGCACATAAATCAAGGTCATTACCTCTACCCCCGGCTAACATCACCTCCTATCCCGCACTCCCACACTCCCAATCTCCCGCACTCCCCACTCCCGCACTCCCCACACGCAAACTCCCACACTCTCCTCCTCCTGCCTCGGAGGGGCATCAGTACCTGCAGAGCGCACGAGCAGCATGGAGTGGGGCGAGAGGCGGCAGGGGCGGGCGTAGCAGTAGCAGGCGATGGGGACGAAGGAGAGCGCGCCACCAGGGAGGAACGAGAGGTCCGCTTGCGTGGGGCCCGTGCCCTCGTCCGCTGCTGCTGCCGCGCTCGCTATCACCGTTGACAGGGAGAAGCTGGGAGGGGGGGAGGGGAAGGGAGGGTGAGCGGAGGGACGGGAAGGGAGGGTGAGCGGAGGGACGGGAAGGGGGGAGAAAGGAGGGAGACAGGAGAGGAAAGTCTAGACGGAGGGAGAGTTTAGTGCGTCTGAACCATGAAGCGTGGTTACATATCCTAGAGCGCATGAGCACGTGTAGCAAGGCGTAAACGCGTACTGAGAAACGGAGAAAGCAGACCGTAAAGCGGGTACTGGTGCACGTGAAACGGATCACGGCTAGTAACGCGTACAGCGGGTACTGGAGCACGTGGAAGGCGCGCTGGCCGATGGTGACGACGAGGTCGCTCGCCATGCCCGCCACTTGCGCCCACTCCGGCTCGCTCTCGTGCGACAGCAGCGACGCCCTCGCGTCGTCGCAGCCCTCGTCGCCCATCGCGCGCGTCGTCGGAGGGAGCAGACGAGCGGGAGGCGCGCGAAAAGAATCGGCGCGGAAAGAATCGGTGCGGAGTAAACGGCGCGGAACGGCGCGAAGGGAACAGCGGCGAGGCACGGGGGAGGGCGAGGATGCGGCTGCTCTCTGATGTTGCCTGCTGCTCTCTCTTGCTCTCTCCTGCAGACTGCTGCTATGTGCCGCTAAGCGTTTCCAACGCGCAGACAAAGCGGACGCTTACACTCGATGCTCCACCCCGCTATCAGTTTGTCGAGCAGTACAATGCGAAAATTGCGTAACGCGCGTCAAGAGCGGAACCTTGAACAAGAAGAAATCAGGGCAGCGATACACACGGCGACGCTTCCGATCACCCTCTCCCTTCACTATCCCGCGACGACGATAGGATAGGCCTTCGTTTAAAACGCTGGCCGCGGTGCGAGGAATGGATGAACGGCTCCGATTGTACCGATCGGGGTCGCAGAAGCGGATTCTCTCGCCTGTAACGCGCAGATGCTGCTGCCGCGGAGTAGCACGCAATGGCTGGTTGTACCACCCGACCGGCCCGAACTCGCCATGGCATCACTGTGCTCTGCGGTGCGATGGGACAGCAGCATAGACATTTCCGACGCTTCGGCTTCGGACGCGACGCGACGCGAGCCGAGCTCACCTCCGCTTTCACTCACGTTCTCGCCTCGGAATGGGAATGGGATGAGGATTTCTGTTTTAAAGCGACGGGCAACTTTTGGCAGTGTTGGGTTCAGAAGTTTAGGGTTGGCAGCGACGCGATGTGTTGGCAGCGATGCGATGCGACGGACATGAATCGCACCAACTTCAAGCTGTTGGGATGAGGTCTGGTCTGCCTGATTGTTCACCACTTCGTTACTTGGGCGGAGTGACCAGATAGGCGCAAACGAAGGGAGAGTTTCGAAAGAGTGCACTGCACTTCCATCCGGTGACATGCGATTTCGTGCTTTTCAGATGTGATCTTTGCTTGAAAGTTCTGGAGGTTTTCCAGCAATATTACATGATGTGATGATTGAGAATCTGGATTGCAAGTCAGCATTTATTTATGATATAGGCTAGAGAACACAGGACTAAATAGTTTGTAGAGTTACGTATTTTAGAATTACTTAAACAGACTGAAATTCTACGCCCTATCCAGAGAAAATGTATCGCTACACTAGAGTACATTCTTAGGGTACATTCCGCTGTGGAATGTGTCCCAATCGATGTGTCCCAATCCCACTTTTGCCGAGTCGCGCTCAAATTTCTCGATCCTGCATGTCCCAATCGACTGATGTATTGCGACTTTGGGCATCATCGCGACAATTATATGCGACCCACTGTGATTGGTCAACTTCCAATCTGGCACGTACCTACACCAACAGCACAAACACCGGCGATCCAGATCCGCGGAAGGGACTTGGTTATGTACGGGGAGGGAGCGGACAATACAGTACATGTCCGCACTACCAATAATTGCCAAAACTGCAAGTACGTTCCCTACTCCTATACTACGCAGACAGTATGTTTAAAGCCAGCAGGCAAAATAGTGACCCCCCCCTTCTAGTTGGGTCAACTTGAAGATGAAGTATTTTTGTTTTGTTTTGGAATGTTGGAATTGCTGTATGTGTGCTTTTTTTTCCGACCCTCGGACGAGTTTCTTATTGGACCAGGAACGATAGTTCATTGTCAATTCTGATTGGCAGCCAGGTTCCCTCACATGTACATGTAAAGATTAGTAGGTAGAGAAGTTTAGAATGAAGAAGAAGGGGGTTCACTAGAAAGCAGCAGGATACATATAGGAAACCCTAAGGGGTTGTACTCGCTATAGAGTACCCCACTGCAGGCTAGAGAACAATGACATTCTGACATAGAGTACATTCTTAGGGTACATTCCGCTGTGGAATGTGTCCCAATCGATGTGTCCCAATCCCACTTTTGCCGAGTCGCGCTCAAATTTCTCGATCCTGCATGTCCCAATCGACTGATGTATTGCGACTTTGGGCATCATCGCGACAATTATATGCGACCCACTGTGATTGGTCAACTTCCAATCTGGCACGTACCTACACCAACAGCACAAACACCGGCGATCCAGATCCGCGGAAGGGACTTGGTTATGTACGGGGAGGGAGCGGACAATACAGTACATGTCCGCGCTACCAATAATTGCCAAAACTGCAAGTACGTTCCCTACTCCTATACTACGCAGACAGTATGTTTAAAGCCAGCAGGCAAAATAGTGACCCCCCCCTTCTAGTTGGGTCAACTTGAAGATGAAGTATTTTTGTTTTGTTTTGGAATGTTGGAATTGCTGTATGTGTGCTTTTTTTTCCGACCCTCGGACGAGTTTCTTATTGGACCAGGAACGATAGTTCATTGTCAATTCTGATTGGCAGCCCGCTTCTCTCACATGTACATGTGCGAATTTGGCGCAAAGTTGAGCGACGAGCACTCCTGCATGTCAGAATCCCAACCACTATGTCAGATTTATATGACATAGCTACTGTAGGCTATAGTGGGGTAGCACATATGGGGTACAGTTGTCTAGGGTTTGCTTTTTGTACCCAACTTTCACTTAGTCATTTTCATTCCTGTTTTCTTAATTCACATGGTATAGAGCGGGTTCCTACATGGGACCGTTCCTTCCTAAGGGCCCACCATAACGAAATTTTTTTTTAGCTGCCCGACGCGCATTGCGCCCCTGCCCTTTTTTTTTTTTTTAGCGCCCCCCCCCCCCCTAGCGGCCCCTACGCGACCCCTACGCGGCCCCTACGCGGCCCCTACCCGGCCCCTACGTCGCCCCTGACGCGGCCCCTACGCGGCCTCTGACGCGGCCCCAACGCGGCCCCTGACGTGGCCCCTACGCGGCCCCTGACGCGGCCCCAACGCGGCCCCTGACGCGGCCCCAACGCGGCCCCTGACGCGGCCCCTACGCAGCCCCTGACGCGGCCCCTGCCGCGGCCCCTGACGCGGCCCCTACGCGGCCCCTACGCTGCCCCTGAGGCGGCCCCTGACGCGGCCCCTGACGCGGCCCCTCCGCCGCCACTACCGCGGCCCCTACGCCCCCCCCTGACGCCGCCCCTGACGCGGCCCCTGCCGCGGCCCCTGACGAGGCCCCTGACGCGGCCCCTGACGCGGCCCCTACGCCGCCCCTGACGCGGCCCCCTGACGCGGCCCCTGACGCGGCCCCTGACGCGGCCCCTGACGCGGCCCCTGCCGCGGCCCCTGCCGCGGCCCCTGACGCGGCCCCTGACGCGGCCCCTGCCGCGGCCCCTGCCGCGGCCCCTGACGCGGCCCCTGACGCGGCCCCTTCGCCGCCCCTGACGCGGCCCCTACGCCGCCCCTGACGCGGCCCTCTCCTGCACCTGACGCGACCCCTAGCGGCCGGCCGCTGCCGTCCCTGAGGCAGCAGCCGCCGCCGTCTCTGCAGCAGCAGTCGCAGCCGAACAGCCGAGCCGCCGAGCCGCCGAGCCGCCGAGCAGCCGAGCCGCCGAGCCGCCGAACCGCCCAGCAGCCGAGCCGCCCAGCAGCCGAGCCACCGAGCCGCCCAGCACCCGAGCCGCCGAGCCGCCGAGCCGCCCAGCAGCCGAGCCGCCGAGCCGCCCTGCAGCCGAGCCACCCGAGCCGCCCTGTCCGGTAAGAGCAGCGCCCCTTTCACAGCACTGCCCTCACCCTACTGTTTGCGCTGCTTGTCTACTACTGTCATGGCTACCCCTAGTGTCCTCGCTTTTGACGCTGAGGGTCGGGCCATTGACTTTGATGTCTGGATAGATGACCTGCAGCTTTTCTTACAGTGCGACAGGGCAGACGGCCTCTCCCTCTTTGACCTCACTTCTGGTGCCTCTCCTGCCCCCGCTGCTGATGCTGACGCCACTGTTCGCTCACAGTGGGCCACGCGCGATGCTGCTGCACGTCTTGCTGTGCGTCGCCACCTGCCTACCTCTGAGCGTGCGCACTTTAGCCAGTACAAGAGTGCTCAGACCTTGTACGACGCTGTAGTTGCGCGCTACTCCTCCCCTGCCACTGCTGCACTGAGCCGCCTCATGCTACCGTACCTCTTCCCTGACCTTGCTGCCTTTCCCACAGTCGCTGACCTCATTACGCACCTCCGCACTAGTGACACTCGCTACCGCGCTGCGCTTCCTGCTGAGTTCTGCGCCAAGAACCCCCCCCCCATGTACATCACCCTCTACTACATAGTCACCCGGCTCCCTGACTCCCTTCGCGTAGTCAGGGACCACTTCCTCTCAGTTTGCCCCACCACTCTCACCGTTGACCTCCTCGAGAAGTCCCTCCTAGCAGCAGAGAAGAGCATAGTCGCTGTAGGAGCCTCTCGTGGTGACCCTCGCACCCCCATCTTTGAGGGGTGTTCCCCCTCCCCCCTTTTGCCCTCTGTTGCCTCTGCTGCTGCGGCCGACCTCGTTGGGCTTGAGTCAGTCGGTGCGGCGTCTACCCCTAGCAGGAGACGTCGCCCTGGCAAGGGCAAGGGGGGCAGGGGCACTGGAGGAGCTAGCGGGGGCGGTGGAGGCGGAGGTGGAGGCGGTGGAGGGGGTGGGGGTGGCGGTGGGGGTGGTGGCGGGGGTGGAGGCGTCGGTGGCGGCAGTGGAGGCGGAGGCGGCGGCGGCGGTGGCGGTGGGAGCGGAGGTGGCGGCGGTGGAGGAGGAGGCGGCGGAGGAGGTGGAGCTGGTCGGGGTGGCGCTGCGCAGAGGGTCGGCTCCGGTGGTGGTCAGCGCCAGCAGCAGCAGCAGCAGCAGCAGCAGCAGCGCACTCGTGACATCCCCTCCCCTCAGCAGCTCCGTGAGTGGTACGCTGCACGCCAGAGGGGTGGGGGTACTGGTCCGTGCACCTACGTCCTCCGCACCGGCGACCGCGCGGGTGAGCAGTGCGGGGGTGCGCACTCCACCCAGCGCTGCTTTGGCCGCCTGACGGACGCTTGGCGTCACCAGTTCCCTGAGGCCACTGAGATCCCCCGCTGGGGTGAGCTGTCTAGGGCGGGTGTAGCTGTCTTTGACCTTGACTTTGATGCTATTATTGCTGCCATGTATACTGTGACTATTAGTGATGAGGGTGACTGTTACCGGTGTTTTCCGCCCGACCCGGGCATTGAGACTGCTGCTCTAGGTACTGGTGAGGCTGCTGCTCTAGGTGCTAGCGAGGCTGCTGCTCTAGGTGCGTCTGCTCCCTCAGGTGCTGGTGAGTCTGCTCTCTCAGGTTCTGCGTCGGCTTCGGCCTCCCACACCTTCACCCTTGACTCGGGGGCTTCTCGCTCCTTCTTTCGAGACCGCACCACACTCACGCCGCTTGGCCGGCCAGTTGCAGTCTCTCTGGCAGACCCCTCTGGGGGTCCTGTCCTTGCTCACTTCTCCACTGTCCTCCCGTGTCCGGCGGCCCCCTCTGGCACCCTGTCTGGTCTTTACCTTCCCTCGTTCTCTACGAACTTGGTGAGTGGTGCTGACCTACAGGATGCGGGGGTTCACCAGTTCACTCCTGCGAGTCAGCGGGTGACCCACTGCACGGACGCTCGGACAGGCCGCCACCTGGCCACGTTTACCCGTCGGCCGGGGTCGAGCCTGTACACCCTGACCACTGAGTCTCCTCCAGTCACTGCGTCTGGTCAGGTAGCTGCGTCGGGTCAGGTGTTTGCTGCAGCGTCCAGATCTGGTCCTGAGTCTGCCCCCTGTTCGTGTCGCCTCCTGTCTCACGAGACTCTCCTCTGGCACCACCGCCTTGGTCACCCCTCCTTGCTTCGTCTCCGAGGCATGGCCTCCCGTGTCCTTGTCTCTGGTCTTCCCCGGTCCCTCCCTCCCCTTCCTCCGGGGCCTGGCCCTGCCTGCGTCCCCTATGTCGAGGGGCGGCAGCGGGCTGCCCCTCACTCCTCCCAGTTTCCTCCGACAGAGGCCCCGCTGCAGACGCTTCACATGGATGTGTGGGGCCCGGCCCGCGTCCGTGGACAGGGTCACGAGCGCTACTTCCTGCTGGTGGTTGACGACTACTCGCGTTACACCACAGTCTTCCCCTTGCGCAGCAAGGGCGATGTCACTGAGGTGTTGATCGACTGGATCCGCGCAGCTCGTCTCCAGCTCAGGCAGAGCTTCAGCTCGGACTTTCCTGTTCAGCGTCTGCACTCTGACAGAGGTGGAGAGTTCTCCTCTGGCCTTCTGCGAGCCTACTGTCGTGCACGAGGTATCCGCCAGACCTTCACGCTTCCGGACTCTCCACAGCAAAATGGGATTGCTGAGCGCCGCATTGGCATGGTCATGGACGTCGCCCGTACGTCCATGATGCATGCGGCTGCCCCCCATTTTCTGTGGCCGTTTGCGGTTCGGTACGCGGCGCATCAGATCAACCTTCACACCAGGGTCTCCATGCCGGAGACCTCCCCAGCCTTGCTGTGGACGGGGAAGGTTGGCGATGCGTCTGCGTTCCGTGTCTGGGGATCTCGGGCGTTTGTCCGTGACTTGTCTGCGGACAAGCTGTCCCCTCGTGCTGCTCCTTGCGTCTTCCTTGGCTTCCCCCCTGACGCGCCAGGGTGGCAGTTCTACCACCCCACCTCTCGCCGTGTTCTGTCCTCCCAGGACGTCACGTTTGACGAGTCGGTCCCCTACTACCGCCTCTTCCCCTACCGCACTCCGTCCCTCCCCCCGCCACCGCTCTTCCTTGTACCAGGTCCCCCCCCGGTAGACCCCCTCCCCCCTCAGGGTCCTGCCCCTTCAGGTGTGTCCCAGGTAGACGCAGTCGAGCCTGTCGAGGTTACTGGTGACTCTGGTGCTGCTGAGGGTGCTGAGCCTGGGGGTGCTGACTCTGGGGGTGCTGAGCCTGAGGGTGCTACTACTGGGGGTCCTGAGCCTGGGGGTGCTGAGCCTGGGTGTGCTGAGCCTGGGGGTGCTACGCCTGGGGGTGCTGAGCCTGGGGGTGCCACGCCTGGAGGTGCTGAGCTTGGGGGTGCGGAGCCTGAGGGAGCTGGGCCTGCTCGTGTGGCGTCTGGCGGTGCTGAGCCTGGAGGTTCTCCGGGTGCTTCGTCTCGGCGGGAGCCACTCTCTCCACAGGAGCTGCGCGAGTGGTTTGCCCGGCGCTGGAGGCGTGCTGCTGGATCTGGAGGTTCTTCGGCTGCTGAGGGTGCTGGTGCCGCCAGTCCCGGAGGTGCTCGTACTGGGAGTACTGGAGCTGCTGGGCCTGCGGGTACGACTGGAGCTGGAGCTGCTGAGGGTGTTGGCGCTGAGGCTACTGCTGTCGGTCCTGGAGGCGGTCCTGCTGGGGGTGCTACTGGTGCTGCTGGAGGTACTGGAGCTGGAGGTGCTGCTGGTGCTGGTGCTGCCGCTGGGGGTACTGGTGCTGTCCCTGCTGTGTCTGGAGTCGCCGCGCGGCCTCGACCGTACTTCGTTCCGCTCCTTCAGCAGGTTCTTGGTCTCCCGCCTTCTACTGGTCCTCCTCCTCCCTTAGAGTGTCCACAGCCTGTCCCGTCACAGTTACAGTTACAGCCGGCCTCCCCACTGCCTGCTCCTTCTCCCTACACTGGTCCTACTGGAGGTCTTGCTGAGCGTCGTGAGCCAGCGTCTCGCCCTGCGTCGCCTGTCCGTGCTGCTCGCACTAGTGGTCGTGGTTCGCGTCAGCGTCCTCCTCCTGTCCCTGGCACGCACCGGATGTCTCTGCGTCCGTCCACTGCTCCTCTGCGTGCCCCTTTTCCTTCTCCTCCTGAGTCCTCTCTTCCTGCTCTTCCTGACCCGGAGTCGGACTCTCTTCGTGCTGCCAGTCCTACTGTCACGCGTCTCCTTGCTACTGTTGTCACTGACCCTTCCTTTGAGTCCACTGCTGCGTCTGCCCTAGTTACTGAGCTCGTCGACTTTGCTGCTCGCTGTCGTCTAGACTACGCTGCTCGTCTTGTTGCTGAGTCTGAGTCTGTCTGTCCTCCGTCCGTCGGGGGTGAGTGTGCCCTTGGCACGGACGTCCTTGAGGACAGGCAGGAGGAGTTCCAGTGTTTGGCTGCTGCTTCACCTCATCTCGTATCCGTACTGCTTACCCCTGAGGGAGACCCGGATGCACTTGACATCCCGACTCCGCGCTCTTACGCGGAGGCGATATAGGGTCCCTACTCCTCTCAGTGGCAGGCAGCTATGGACACAGAGATGGCTTCCTGGAAGTCCACAGGCACCTACGTTGACGAGGTTCCCCCGCCTGGGGCGAACATCGTCAGTGGCATGTGGATCTTCAGGGTGAAGCGGCCGCCGGGTTCTCCGCCTGTCTTCAAGGCGCGTTACGTGGCTCGTGGCTTCAGTCAGCGGCAGGGAGTTGACTACTTTCAGACCTTCTCCCCCACCCCGAAGATGACCACTCTTCGGGTACTGCTGCACGTTGCTGCTCACCGTGACTACGAGCTGCACTCTTTTGACTTCAGCACAGCTTTCTTGCAGGGCAGCCTGCACGAGGAGATCTGGCTGCGTCGCCCACCTGGCTTCACTGGGTCTTTCCCTTCTGGTACCCAGTGGAGTCTCCGGCGTCCAGTCTACGGTCTCCGCCAGGCGCCCCGTGAGTGGCACGACACACTGAGGACTACACTTGCGGCTCTTGGGTTTGCTCCTTCTACTGCCGACCCGTCGCTGTTTCTACGCACCGACACCTCTCTGCCGCCGTTCTACATCCTCGTGTACGTCGACGACTTGGTCTTTGCCACAGCTGACACTGCTGGACTCGCCTACGTGAAGTCCGAGCTGCAGAAGAGACACACGTGCACAGACCTGGGTGAACTGCGCAGCTACCTTGGCTTGCAGATCACCCGGGACAGAGCACGCCGCACCATTACCCTGACTCAGTCACACATGGTGCAGCAGGTCCTTCAGCGCTTCGGCTTCACGTACTCCTCGCCTCAGGCCACTCCTCTGCCTACTCGCCACTCGCTCTCAGCTCTGCCTTCGGATGAGTCCGTAGAGTCGAGTGGTCCGTACCCAGAGCTTGTTGGCTGCCTCATGTACCTGATGACCTGCACACGACCTGACCTTGCATACCCTCTTAGCATTCTTGCACGCTATGTTGCTCCTGGGAGACACAGACCGGAGCACATGGCTGCAGCGAAGAGGGTGTTGCGCTACTTGTGCAGTACGTCGGGCATGGGGCTTGTGCTTGGAGGGCAGAGTCCAGTGGTCCTCACTGGGCACGCAGACGCTTCTTGGGCTGACGACCAGGCTACGCAGCGGTCGTCACAGGGTTACACCTTCAGCCTTGGTTCCGGCTCTGTTTCGTGGCGGGCTACCCGCTCGTCTTCTGTTCTCGGCTCCAGTTGTGAGGCTGAGATCTACGCCGGGGCCATGGCTGCACAGGAGCTTCGCTGGCTCACCTACCTGCTGACTGACCTCGGAGAGCCGCCTCGTTCTCCTCCAGTGCTGTACGTAGACAACAAGGCCATGCTGGCCTTGTGTCGAGAGCAGAGACTGGAACACAGAACGAAGCACATTGCTCTCCGCTACTTCCTTGCTCGTGAGCTACAGCAGCGTGGTCAGCTGCGGCTTGCGTACGTGGCCTCTGAGGCCAACACTGCTGATATCTTCACCAAGGCACTTGCGCCTTGTGATCATCAGCGCTTCTGTACTCAGCTTGGTCTTGTGCCTACCTTGCCTCACTTGCTCACCCCTTGACCTTGTTTGTACTGTTGCATATATATATACCCCTGCTCTTGCTTGTCTAGTCTTATATATATGTATATGCAATCCTGTATGTGAACTGGCCTTGTGGCCTTGAACTTGTGCTCGGAATGTGTGGTGACTTTGTGATCCACCCTGAGCTTGTTTTGCTTTGCTTGACTGGTCTTGTGACCCCTTGTTCTCCCCCACTTTGCCTATGGGGGTGTGTCAGATTTATATGACATAGCTACTGTAGGCTATAGTGGGGTAGCACATATGGGGTACAGTTGTCTAGGGTTTGCTTTTTGTACCCAACTTTCACTTAGTCATTTTCATTCCTGTTTTCTTAATTCACACACTAGACCATTGGGATAAAAGGGCTTGTTTAAGTAGCGGGTCAGTGCGCCCATAACCCCCCAGGCCAACGTGCCTGTAACCCTTCCCTAGGATCAATCGGGGATCACCAGTGGACCTCTGACACCCCCCCGCACTGGGATGCCCGAAGTGCATACATCGGGATTCGAACCCGAGACCTTCGCTCTGATACCATGTCAGAATCCCAACCACTAGACCATTGGGATAAAAGGGCTTGTTTAAGTAGCGGGTCAGTGCGCCCATAACCCCCCAGGCCAACGTGCCTGTAACCCTTCCCTAGGATCAATCGGGGATCACCAGTGGACCTCTGACACCCCCCCGCACTGGGATGCCCGAAGTGCATACATCGGGATTCGAACCCGAGACCTTCGCTCTGATACCATGTCAGAATCCCAACCACTAGACCATTGGGATAAAAGGGCTTGTTTAAGTAGCGGGTCAGTGCGCCCATAACCCCCCAGGCCAACGTGCCTGTAACCCTTCCCTAGGATCAATCGGGGATCACCAGTGGACCTCTGACACTGCATTCACTAGAGCCAATACTTCACCAAATTCACAACTAGGAACATCTCACGCTAAATCCCAAGCAGACACACATGTACGTGATGAGAGTGAAAGTGTTTGAACGTTATTAGAGCTAGTAGAGATCTGATCAATGTGCTGCCTTGGACTTGAGGCCTGGGAGAGGTGCAATAACGGGAAACAGAAGAGAAAAAAAGTAATAGGGGGGAAATTATGATGGGCAAGGTGACGCGAATGAAGAGAAAGAGGGAGGGCGACGGGAAACGGGAGGGCGACTGGAAGGGAGGGCGTAGGAAACGGGAGGGCGACGGAAGAAGGGGGGCGACGGGAAACGGGAGGGCGACGGGAAACGGGAGGGCGACGGGAAACGCGAGGGCGACGGGAAACGGGAGGGCGACGGGAAACGGGAGGGCGACGGAAAACGGGAGGGCGACGGGAAACGGGAGGGCGACGGGAAACGCGAGGGCGACGGGAAAAGGGAGGGCGACGGAAGAAGGGAGGGCAACGGGAAACGGAGGGCGACGGGAAACGGGAGGGCGACGGGAAACGCGAGGGCGACGGGAAACGGGAGGGCGACGGGAAAAGGGAGGGCGACGGGAAACGGGAGGGGGGCGGGAAACGGGAGGGCGACGGGAAACGGGAGGGCGACGGGAGAGAGGATAGGCGGCGGAGAGAGAGGGTGTCGAGAATAGATGGAAAGACAGAAAAAACAAACAAACCAAACACAATAACAGAGTACGGAATGGGTCACGCTGACGCGATAGCAGAGGGAGAACGAGAGAGGCGACGGAGAAAGGAGGGCATACGTGATGGGAGAGTCGAAGGTCGCCGGGAGGGCTATTCGAGGCGAGCGAGAAGGGAGGATGGGAAGGGAGCAGAAAGAGAGAGGGCAATGGGAAGGGAGCGGAGAGAGAGAGCGCAACGGGAAGGGAGCGGAGAGAGAGCGCGATTCGAAGGGAGGAGCGAGAGAGAGGGCGGAGCGGAGAGAGAGAACGCGATGGGAAGGGAGGGGCGAGAGAGAGGGCGACGGGAAGGGCGCGGAGAGAGAGAGCGCGACGGGTAGGAGGGGCGAGAGAGAGGGCGACGGGAAGGGAGCGGAGAGAGAGATCACGACGGGAAGGGAGGGGCGAGAGAGAGGGCGATGGGACGGGAGCGGAGAGAGAGAGCGCGACGGGAAGGGAGGGGCGAGAGAGAGGGCGACGAGAAGGGAGCAGAGAGAGAGAGCGCGACGGGAAGGGAGGGGCGAGAGAGAGGGCGAGGGGAAGGGAGCGGAGAGAGAGAGCGCGACGGGAAGGGAGCGGAGAGAGAGGCCGACGGGAAGGGAGCGGAGAGAGAGCGCGATTCGAAGGAGGAGCGAGAGAGAGGGCGGAGCGGAGAGAGAGAGAGAGCGATGGGAAGGGAGGGGCGAGAGAGAGGGCGACGGGAAGGGCGCGGAGAGAGAGAGCGCGACGGGAAGGGAGGGGCGAGAGAGAGGGCGACGGGAAGGGAGCGGAGAGAGAGAGCGCGACGGGGCGAGCGACGGGAGGGCGATCGGTAGGGAGGGGCGAGAGAGAGGCCGACGGGAGGAGAGGAGGGGAGAGAGGGCGACGAAGAGGGCGACGGGACGGGCGACGAGATGGCGACGTGACGCGCGACGGAAAGGGAGACGGGTGGGCGATTTGGCGAACTCGAGGATAGCATAGTGGGCGATGAGAGGGGTGAGAGGAATGGCGACGGGAATGGGGTTCTCTGTGATCGCGAGGAAAATATCACTACGCAGCAACGGCGACGAAGTATCACAAACAATCTAATGATAATTTCATTTCTATGCCGCATCAGCCTAATCCCTCGTCTCTGGCTATTCTATGCTAGGCAAGCTCCGTGAGTTAGGCAAGCTACGTGAATGGAGTTGAAGTAAGCATATGTGGAACCCAGGCCCAGCTTGAAAGTCGAAGTCGGGTCCAACCATCAAAACGCACGACAAACAACTGTCGTGCAAATGTCGCATGCAGAAAATGCGAACGCGCGAGCACGATCTGTTTTTTTTTTTTTTGGCGGGAACGAATCACGTGTGTTCAGTCTGTGGAAGGGCGATGCCCGGAACAGTGTTTTACACAGCCCATCGTCGTTCCAGTTTTGCTTCTTCCGAGCACGATTTCAAGTTGGATCCGCCTTCACTATTTTATATTTCGGTTTTAATCGAAGTATGCACATACTACATAACTACGCATTCATAACCCACACACCATGGCAGAGCCTAAAACCATCCCCTTCATCCTACGCCTCCTCGTCGCATGGGTCACCTACTACTACACCGTTTTCTACGAAAACGTCGCGAAGTCCTTCGTAGGCCTGATAGAGTCGGGAGTGTTCGAGGACGCTGACGAGCAGTCCTCATCGCTCGGGGACGATTACGGGGAGAACCGCCGTCACAGAGCGAGAGTACGGCGGCGACGTCATGCACAGTGCCCTAGATATCAGACTTTGGAGTCTGAATCAGAGTCCGTTCAGACTTTTTTTTTGTACCTAGTCTGAACTCAAAGAATTTATTTATGTACCTTGTCTGATTTTCCAGAGTTTTTTCTTATGAGTTGTCTGAAATTTCAGCCTAATTTTACTAGGGTAGGCTGAGCCTCAGACTTGTATCGGGGGTACACTCTGCGCGCTTATCGGTTCAAAGTTTCCTGGAAGTTTCCTTCCGATATGCCCACTTCCGAGATGGCAGTGGAGTGCCAGGACGTGAGCAACGCTCACTTCGACAGCTGGGACATCTAAATACACTCGTTCGTCGAGAATATCTTCCAGTTACGCTGAGGAAATGGTTGCGTGATTACGAGATTTCTGAAGACAAAATCTCGTCACATGTAAGTTATCGCTAATGTATTGTAAAGAATAGGCGACTTTGATGCTGATTCGCTGTAAAAACATCTGCAGCACGCACTGGTGTGAATTGCGAAGTTCCTGATTCGTACTGAAAGTTTCGTGTGGCACTGTTTGATCCTCACATGCCACGCCAAGCAACAGTTTCTGCCTGCTGCCAGCTCAGCTGCGTGGCACTTGGCCCACCTGATACAGATCGGGTGAACGATCGAATCGCTTGAAAAACAAATCCAAAACTGACAAAATCGGCACACATGCGAGAAAATGGGTACAGAACGGTAATCACACACACGACAAAACGAAATGAGATCAGCAGAGCAGAAACAACCATGCGCTGCACGTGACAAAAACACTGGAATGCCGCCGACATGAGCAAAGGCGATGCACGAGCACGAGCACGTTGCCTGATGCGTTGGTATGGTAGGCTGTAATCAGCCTCAATGCTATTATAACTGCTTTTACGAAACTGCATGAACATCTTAAAATTTGAAGTAACTCTGACAGTTCAGACAAAAAAAAATGTGTTTGTCTGAATTTTCAGACTAAAATCTTGAGGCACCTCTGACAGACAGAGTTCCAAGAGGGGTGTACTCTGAGGCCTCAGACTACCTCAAAACGAATCTAGGGGCCTGGTCATGCATTGTGGGTTGAAGACCTGCAGCACATGCGGGAGAACGATTTCCAAGACCTTTTTCAGGATAAACCGTGCCATACTTGAGCATATCAAAACCGGGATGCAACTCTATCTGGAGCCAATAGTGCACCGGTCAATACTCACAATGGACACCGCGGTGCTCATCCCTATCAAGTACCTGGCGTCAGGAATCTCCTACGTCGACATGTCGTACCTGTTCGGCGTCTCCAAGACACTTTGCCACGAGGTTGTCGACGTGTTCCTCACTGAGTTCCCCTCAATCTTCAAGGCCGCCTGAGTGCGCTTCCCCACACGCGAAGAGCTTCCCGAGATGGCACGGGAATTTGCTGCCATCAAAGGTGTACCTGCTGTGGTGGGGGCTGTGGACGGGACTCATATCCACATGAAAGGGATGGAAGGTCACAGAGCGGAGTACTGGACAAGGAAGTCGGCCTATGCCGTACAACTCCAGCTCACGTGTGATGCACGAGGCAGGATATGGGACTACCTGATCGGCTATCCCGGGTAGCGCGCACGACATGCGGGTTTTCAAAGAGTCTGCACTACTTGAGAGGTTACACAACGGGGACATAGCCCCATACCAAATTGTCGGGGACGCGGCCTACCCTCTACGAGAATACTGCCTAACACCCCTGCATGCCCCTCGAGGAGAGGACCTCATGGACGACTGGGCACAATGTTTCAACTACTGTCAGAGCGCCACACGCATGGCGGTGGAGAGGTGCATCGGCGCCTTCAAAGGGAGATGGCGCATCTTCGCCCAGCGCAACGACTGCAGGTTGTGGCGCATTCTCGCTGGGGCCGCGTGTTGTGTGATCCTGCACAACATGTGTGAAGAGATGCAGGAGGTAAGGCGCAAAAACATGGCATGGGAGAACCTTCCCCGCAACCGCGATCCATGGTGGACGCGGGGAGCTATTGCGACACACAAGTGGGAACCGTGTGTCCCACCAACACAACAGGCACTGAGGGAGAGGCGGAAACGGCTGGAAGAGGCACTCCAGGACTCTTACTCTAATCGGCGGCGCCGCGCACCCATATCTCCACATCCTCATCAGCCGGAGTGACGGTGTTGACGTCGCCCATATCTTCCCGCGGCTGTGCGGCTTCGGGGGGTGGCGCGGACTCCCCGCGTGGCGGTGGAGGGGAGAAATCTGGCGGCGCACGGTGCACATCCGGGGGAGCCGATTCAGTCATGCGCTCGCGGGCAAGTCGCAGGTCTTGCGCCATCCATTCTCGGACGAGGCCTTCAACGACTCTCATCGCATCACCGTGGCAGTCCTTGATTGTGGCGGACACCAACATCGCCGCTTGCATGGTAGCCGTCTCATGCACCCGGGCGCGCTTGGGTGTGGCAGTGTTCGTCGGCGGCGGAGCTGAGAAACAAGAGAAGACGGGAAGATAGAAGTTTAGATTGGTAGGTGCACACAATGACGATGTATCGTGCATGTTAGCCGATAGTCTAAACAGCAGTTTGAAACTAGAAGTTGTATGGCAAGCATGCGAACCAAACAACATGGAACCGGGATCATGTCTCACCCGTAAAACATGGCGTTGACGTGCCTGGCTGGGACGAAGTTGGAACCTCCATGCCGGCCGGCACGTTGACGTTGGTCGCGCCTCCACCGTCCACCGCATGCGGTGAGGCTGCGGCAGTGTCTTGGTTGTGCAGCTCCATGTACGGATACCATGGTGGTTTCTCCACCGAGCCGTTGCCCGAACCCCCGTCGGCACGCTTGTACTCCCGCCAAAGGAGCATCAAGTTACGCCACTGCTTCTGCAGTGCGTTGACTCCCCTGCACCATCCGGGGTTCGACTCCTTGATGTGTGCAAGCAGCCGGGCCCAGTATTGCGTCCCCTACTTCCCCTTGAGTGGCTCGAGCTCATCTTTCAAGAACCATTTCGCCGCGGCGAAAATGGTGCTCTCCTTGTCAGACCATAAGCCGCGCTCGACAGGTGCTGCCGCACGTTTCTTCCGTGGCTCCGGGCGCGCTGCAGGTTGCGCAGCCTTGCCTTTGCCCTTGTCAGACCCTTGTTTGCGTGCGGCGCTCCGTATCGGCGGCGGAGCGACAGGCTGTGCTTCCTCCGGGGCGTCCTCCTCGGCATCCTCATCGTCGTCGTCGTCTTCGTCGTCGTCGCTGGGCGACATTCCCTGGTCTTCAGGCTCCTCCTCCTCGTCATCGGAGTCATCCCCTTCTTCGCGGTCGTCGTCGTCAGCATCGTCATCGTATTGCTCCACGACTGGCCGGTACGTTGCTGCCGTCCTTGCAGGCTGACGGCGCACACGTGACGGGGCCGCTGTGGGCGACTGGGCAGTGGATCCCTGGCCGTCAAGCACGGGCGGCGCGGATAATCCCCTAGGATGGCGACCGTTGGCGATCTGCTGGTTCATCCAGCGGATGTACGGAATGTCGTTTAGATCCTTGGGGCAGTCGTTAAGGGCCTGCCCCTTACGCTTACGAGCCATGCTGGTGGGTAGAAGGTGTCTAGATCTAGAACTAGAGGGAGCGGAGGCTGTGAGAGAATCACAGATTGGTACTTAGCAGCTGTTGCACAAACTTGACCTCGTAAGGGATGGGGAGGCGGAGGAGTTGTGGGGGAGGTGCACTGGAACTGGCGGAAGGCGCAATGTCGGGGGGGTGCGTGTCCCTGTCAATAATTCTGGAAAGGTCGTTTCGACCAATCGGCAGGCTGTGTACGCGTTGATCGGGATAGAGTGGGCCCAAAAATGTCGTCCAGATACATGCTGCATGAGATGACATCTGGGGCCGCGTGCGATTGGTTGGGTGTGTTTTAATTAGCTGGCGATTGTTCCGTGATACACGCCACCCAATGATAAATACAGTCGGCGACAACCACGGGCGGCACGGCATTCCGACACCTGGCAGCATATGCTGTACGTACGCGCCTCAATCGATTGGAACACATCGATTGGGACATATTATACAGCGGAATGTACCCTTATAAAAATGAATTAATATTCAGAGGTACACTCAACCAATGAAATTCTGTCTATTCCTATCAACCACAGGTCCACAGCTACTCCATGGCAGCATGCCATCCATGCCCACCCTGGCATGGACTGGCAGTGAGCCTTGAGCATTGCCAGGACCAAGACGTGCGGGTGCCCTACTAGGGACTGGCTCTGCCCACCCCCACCTCCACCAAATGACATCACTGCTGGCCAGACAGTTTTGTCACTTGGTGGGGGCGGGAGGGGACAGAACCAGTCCGGTTTGGCCCGGAATCGAGTCCCCAGCCAATGCTCAAAGCTTCACCCTCTCGTGCACTGGCCACATGGCTTGCAGGCTTGCCGACCATGAAGGCACCTGCAGGCAGAAGGAAGATAAAGATTAGTCCATGATAAAAAACAGAAAGCAAAACTACAGCATCACCAAAGCAAATCAACAAACAAAAAAAGCCATGTGCATGAATAAGAGAGCTCAAAGGTAGGGGCTGAAACTTATCTGTGGGTTAGCAGCTTGGAGTGTGGAGCGGTGCTTCAGCAGGCCATGGCTTGCCACCCACTGGGACTTGCCGCCCATGAAGGCACCTGCAGGCAGAAAAAAGATAAACAGTAGTCCATAATAAAAAAGAGAAGGCAAAAAACCAGCATGCATCAAAGCAAATCAATAAACACAATAAAGCCATGTGCATGAGAAAAGGAGCTCGAGGGTAGGGGATGAAACTTATCTGAGGTTAAGCAGCTTGGAGTGTGGAGTGGTGCTGAGCGTTGAGGCGCTTCAGCATGCCATGGAGCTCCCATGGATCTTGGGCTTGCTGGAGTGCAGCGGTGCGCAAGGTCTTGGGGGTCCATGGCGTGTTAATGGCGCTCGGAGAACCTGCCATGAGGCAATATGAAACAAGTCAGTGACTGTAGAGTTGAAGCACAACTCGACAAAAAAAGGACTCAGCAAGCGTGGAGTTACCAGTGGAATAGCATTCGAGCGAGAAAGCACGGAAAAGGCTCAAGATTGAAACTTATCTTGCAAAGTTTGAAAGTTGGAGCTTAGCCGTGAGGTGCTCCTCTGACACCATCTGGAGCGTGGCTTGAATAGAACCTGCAAGGATATCAAAGGAACTAGGTTAGTAATGAGCAGTAAACCAAGCATGCAGAAATGGACAGTGCTGCAATGGTGCAAGTGCCACAGAGCCTACCTATACCAACCAAAAATTTTTTAGGGACATTCACCAACACCTTTACCAACCTCCACCTTAACCAAACCTGAACCTGAACCAAGGGGGGGTGGCTCTGTGGCGTAAAGAACGTGTGGTTGATACTTTCAACCTTCACCAGTCGTGGAGATGCTCCGTCAATATCAGCCGCTGCGATAAGTTGCGATGCGAGTTTGTGTTACTGTTTGTGTTTACTATTTATTGTTCCGGAGGTTGCCGCTTTTCACACAGACGCGGGATGTTTTGCCCGTGCGACCCCACTGTCGTCGCACATCGCTCGACGATGCCTCTACCCGTGATGTCATGCCTCCCCATCCACATCACCTCATATCCCTCCTTCCTCTCACCACTGCTGCAGCTCTGCTCTTCTTGCTGCTGATGTGTATTTTTTGGAATGATCACCACAGCCATTCCATCTAAAATCGGCCATCTCCCTTCACCGAAGTTCTATAGCTTAGCACAGCTTGTTTAGTTCTGAGCTTGTGGATTAGGTCTGGTCTGGACGTAAAAGTAATCTCTGACAAGAAACCTAATGGCGTCTCAGGAGCATCCGTCGTCAAGCTCTGCACCCCTGTCACCGTTGCCGTTGCCGCCTGCTGAGTTAGCATCGCCGCTTCCTCCGCCACTCTTTAACGAGCCCTTCATCATGCCAGCAGCGCGCACCTCACGCTTCGCAGCGCCCGTGGACCGTGTCGTCGGCGAGGCGGAGCTGCTCCGTCAAATGCGCTCCTTGCTCGGCCCCTTTGCGTCCACATCCCGTCTCCTGAACCACCTGCGCGCCGTGCGCGGTAAGGTCCACTGGGCGGTCAACCGCTACCTACGCGAAGAGCTCATGTCCGGCTCATCCTGCCCGGATTTCGCTCCTCGGCCCGTACCGCGCGATTCGTACCGATCGGCTTCTTCCATCGAGAGCTCCGCGCGCGGGAGGAGAGCGGATGCAGCAGATTCCGCAAGCGTATCGGGAGATGCGGGGTTTGCGGCACCTGAAAGGGCTGAAGGTCCTGTCACGGGAACTGTAGTTGATGGATTAGAAGGAGCGACGGTATTAGCAGGCTCGCCGTGCGCGGACCGGTCAACTTGGCCAACCCTAGACCCGCAGATTAGGGCTCGCGCCGAGTTACCGGTTGCCGCTGCGCACGGCGTCGCATCTCCTGTCGACGCAGAGTCGTCGAGGCAAGGAATCCCGCACGCAGAAGCAGCCGTCGCAGCGCGCAGACCGATGTCTTTAGAGGCGGACAGTAGAGACCTCACATGTTCCGCCGCCTCTCCTCCCCCTTCCGCCGGCGCAAGCAGCCGTCCGCGACCGTGCGCATGCATTCTCTCGTCGCTGTCCGCGTACGGTACCACGGTCGTGGCTGGCACTCCAGATGCAGCGCTCACGGGCTGCGACGAGGTGTCCGCCGCAGGGAGGAAAGCAGGTGCGGCGGAAGAAGTGGACGCGCGGGGAGGAGGGTTGTGTGCGCTGACCTCTGCCGCTTCGAGCGTCAAGTCTGTGTCGCAGGTATTGCCTGGATTGTTATCGCCGGTGTCGCCAGGAATGTTGGCGGAAGGAGGGGTAGCGGTTCTAGAGAGTGCTGATCGGCTGACAGCAGTAGGCGGCAGGCAGCAGGCGGTAGCGCTGATGCCCCAGCTGCAGGAGCAGGCGGACGAGGGAGGCGCGGATGACGCAGAGAAAGAGCGCCAGGGCGCAGCGGAGCGGCATGGGGAAGGGAAGGCGGAGGGGCAAGGCGAAGTGGACGGCGTGGGGGGCGGCGGAGTGGGAGAGTGTGCCTGAAGGGATCTTGGAGTCGGTGTTTGCTCGGCTGGCGTTTGAAGACCTGGCCGCCGTGCTGCTCACGTGCTCCGCGTGGCAGGCAGTGGCGCGCAGTGATTGCCTTTGGAAGCAACTGTTTCTGCTGCGATGGGGGCACTCTGCCACTCAAGCTATTATGCAGCAGCGGCGGCAGCAACAGCAAGAGCAACAGCTGGAGCAAGAGCAGGAGCAGCAGGAGCAGGAGCAGCAGAAACCGGAGCAGGAGCAGAAAGAGAGCAGGACGGTTACTAGCAGCAGAAGCGCAGTGGAGCAGCAGAGGACGGATGAGCAAGTGCATGAGGGAGCCGATCTAGCACAGGGAGATGACAGCAGCGGTGGAGATACCTCAGGTGAGAGAGGGAGAGTGGGCAAGAGACTGCACAAGTGGAAAGGTGGCACCAAGTTGCACAGACGTAAGCAGGCTCAACCAGGGTGGATTTACATGTGGGAAGGAATGTGCCGGTGAGTAGCAGTGGTGAAATGCAGGTAGTGTGTGTAACACGAAAGTCACCAACACGATGCAGAGCCGCTTGTTTTGACCTTCCCATCCACGGCTTATTCGTGCTCCTCGTTTTAATTATTGTACTCCCTTTCCTTCTCGTTTCTTTTCAGCTCGTCCGTTGCATCCAGACCAGCAGCAGTCGCCATCAGTCACTGCGGCACCGTTGTCGTGGCAGGAGGCGTTTCGGCAGCGGCTGGAGAGTGAGAGGGCAGCGCAGTGCCCCCAGTGCCGCAGGTCGCGCTTTGTTCCCATCGTGTACGGCTTCCCATCAGCTCCGCTGGTGGCAGGCATGCGCATGGCACAGTGTGTGCTGGGAGGGGACCATCTCACAGACTACCCAGGGTACAACCCCCTGTGGGTGTGTGTGGGGTGCACCACCCGGTGGAGGAAGTATCCTTATGCTCCTGACTGCGAAGGCCCCTACTTCCCGCCCTCGCTCTCCACCTCATCTGCCTCGTCCACAGGCAATGAGATTGACGACTTTGATGTTTGACTCTCATACTCATGCAGAAAGTGAGGGGTAGTGGGGCCCATGAGTGGATCTGGGTGGGTCAACATGGGGCCAGTGGCGGTTGCGGTGTGGTGTCTTGGTGTGAAGGTGGTGTGCGGTTTGGTTTGGAGGGCCTCGGGTTGTGCACATGTCAATTTTTGTTCCTCGTGCACTATAATGCACGAGGGTGGCATTGCAGCAGATTTAGACTGCGACACACTTGGGAGAGAGCGTAATGAGATTTTTGTGGGTATTGAACCAACAAATATAAGGTGCCTTTCACTTATTGATACAGAGATTTGTAACGTCGAATCGAAAGTGTCACGTCGCACAGTGACTACAGGCGGTTTCCACCACTTTCCCGCCCAACCACCACGACTCACAATTTAGTGCCTTTCTTCGATCTTCCCTCCCTCGCTCAAACTTCTTTTTTGCTCCGATCTATTGGTTCCTCCTGAAGTCATTGTTTAGCGTCCTTTAATCTTCGCCATGGCTGACACCGCACCTCCACAGTCCTCTCAGGACGCACCCGCGCCCACTTCTACCCCTCCAGACTCTGCGCCTGGTGCGCCGGCCGCCGCCGCGACTGCTCCGCCTGCCGCTCCAGGAGCGCTGCCCGTCGCACCCCCCGCGACAACTCCCCCGGCTGCGCAGACCACCGGGGCACCGATCGCGCTGTCTGATTTCGATCAGGCGAAGCGCAAGGCGGAAGAGCTCGCGCAGAAGTTTCTTAACGCGGGAGGCGCGAAGCGGTCCAAGTTCGACGACGGGCCGCCCGCAGGCGTTGCCGCCGCCGTGGCTCCTCCCGGCGTGAGCGGCGCGAACGGCGGAGGCCCGCCGGGTGGTGTGGCGAGCTTCGCGCCCGGTCCTCCCGGATCGCAAGGTCCGCCTGGTAACAACCTTTTAAATCGCCTATAACTCCTACATTTTATTCTCAGGCGTATTTTCACCAGCATTTTTTTTTTCTGAAAAATAAGAAAACAAAACAGCGTGATTTGCCCGATGTGCTGATGGAAGGATGTGTTGTGCGTGCAGGCTATGGCGCTGGCGCGCAGCAGCAGAGCCAGCCGCCGCCGTACTACCAGCAGCCGCAGCCGGGGGGCGCCGCGCCTTACTACGATCAACAGGGCGGCGCCGCTACGCAGTCAAAGAAGATCGACGTGCCGAACACGCGGGTGAGTTGCTTATGTGGAGCTGGCTCAGCTCCTGCTTACGTGCCAGATATTTTCCCTCATTTGATCTGTCGCAAGCCAATTGTTTAAGGTCCCCGCCATAAGACCATCTATCGTAAGTTCTTACTTTAAAAAATACAAGTTCTTAATCTCATTCTCGGATCGGTCGGTCCCCCGCTTCTTGATTGCGTACGCCACCCCCGATGGTACCACCCGCGTGCACATGGCGATGCAATCGCGCTGTAACAGGTGGGGCTGATCATCGGCAAGGGCGGCGAGACGATCAAGTACCTGCAGGCGCAGTCGGGCGCCAAGATCCAGGTCACGCGCGACATGGAGGCGGACCCGCGCGCGCCCACGCGCCCCGTGGAGCTCACGGGCACGGCGGAGCAAATCGCGCAGGCGGAGCAACTCATTAAGCAAGTGCTCGAAGAGGTCCGCGCCCTCAATGCTCCCCCCTCTCGCTCCCCTTTTCGCGTCCGCCAATTCTTTTTTTGTTTTTTCCCCCGTCCGTTCCCCTTCCGATTCCCCCACTCCCATCCTCCCTTTTCTCACTCTCCTCGCTTTTTTATTTCTTAACTCTGACTGACTCGTTCGACCGGCCCTTATTCATCGCATTAACGTCATGCTCGCCCCGTTTCTGCTCTGCGCAGTCAGCCGCGGCCAGAGCGGCAGGAGGTGGAGGTGGTGGAGGAGGCGGAGGAGGCGGAGGGGGATCGTACCCTGGAGCACAGGGTGGAGGGGAGACGGTGACGATTAAGATCCCCAACAACAAGGTGCGCCTTATGAGCGCCTTAATCTATTCGCGTCCCACTTAGGATCCTTTTTTTTATCATTGTGTTCGCCTGTTTTTTGAGACCTAACTTTTAATTTCCATAATGCCGTGTACCCTGCGCGTTGCCTCCTCCGTGCGGTTGTTTCAGGTCGGCCTCATGATTGGTCGAGGTGGAGAGACGATTAAGAGCCTTCAGGCGCGCTCCGGTGCAAGGATTCAGGTATCGATGCCCGCGTTCTCTCTGCTGCTGACGTGTCACACTGCATGCACACCACGTGGCACACCTTTCTTTCAATTTCGTTTCACTCCCTTCGCCGCGCTCCGACTATCCCCCCCTCCACACCGTCCGTTTCCGTTTCCCTTCCGTCGACGCTCGTCGCGCCTGTTCCTTCCTCACACTTGCCTCCGTCCTCCCCTTCCCCCCCCAATCCCTCCAAATCCCCCACACCGACACCGTGGCGCGTGGGGCGGTGCGTGCAGGTGCAGAGCGATCGCGAGGTGGAGCCGGGGTGCACGGAGCGCAACGTGATGCTGATGGGCAGCAAGGCGCAGACGGACATGGCGCAGGACCTCATCAAAGAGGTCCTCGACGACGTAAGTTGCCGCTCCCCCCCTTCCCCTCCCTCGCGCACACCTCTTTTCCCCCTCTTCTCCCGCCTTCCTTCACACCCCCCACTCCACCTCCCCCTCCCTCCCCGCTCCTCTCCCCTCTTCCTCCCCTCGGCCCGTCGTTCTGGAGCACATGGGGTGGTTCTTTGCGTGCGGTACCTTGGCGTCTCTTGTCGTTCTCCGGTCGCTGTTTTGTTGCCGCCCCCTCTCTCTGTCTAGCTCTCCATCACAATCTTGCTTTGTGAGTCCTCTCTGTTGCGCGTGCTGTGGATTCTGCATGCATCGTCACCACCGCTGTCTCTATTGCCGGTGACGGTTGGAAACGTTAACAGCCGTGTTATGGGACTTGTATTCCACACCGCTCAGTCATGCGTGTCTCTTGGCGCGTTGGTGTATGCGAGTCTCGTCGGTTCCCGCTCGCTGCATGTACGCTGCTTCCAATTGCGGCCCAATCAGCTTCCCGTTTCGTGCAAAATGCAAGCGTAGCTCTGTTGTGGTGACTCGCTTCTACTGTGACCTCTGCTCACGATGCCTTCACAATCCTGATACCAATGCCAGTACTCTGCACTTCCTTGCAATGCTGTGCCGTGTGGTTCGATGCAATGCAATGCAGTGCCGTGCTATCCCGTGCCATGCCATGCCATGCGATGTGATGCGATGCCCAGAGTCGTCTCACCCTGTGTGATTCAACTCCACACGGCTGGCTGCGTGGGTGTCGCTAGTGTGCAGAGCACAGGCAGCGCAGGGGACGCACTCAGCGCGCCACGCCACTCGCCCTCTCCCGCGCGTCACTGCGTGCCGCGCGGCGCTGCTCCTTCAGTTGCCCTGCGCACCACATCAAAACCGCACCAGACCACACCAGCCCAGCCCTCTGCGGGCCTCGCACGCCTCGCCCCCCGCCTGCCTGCGCGCCTCTTTCCTTTCAGAGCCTCTCCGCCTTTGCATCTATCGCGCTCTCTTGCTTGGACTTCGTGGTTAGCCTTCCTTACGCGCTTCTCGTCTCTTGAGATGGACTTGGTCGTTACACCTCTCGTGCTCGCCTCCCGTGGCCGTCGTTACTCGCTCATGCTCGTGCTGCTCATCGTACTCGCATTGCGTGGTGTTACGGAATTCTTGTGTCTCGTTGACACCTGCTGTCCTGACTCTCTTTCTCTCCCTCTGTCGAGCTGAAAAGCTGTGTTGCCCCACCCTCTCTGACTTCCGTCCGCCCCTCTCCGCCTCCCTGTACGTACCTCCCTTACATCTCCCCTCCACTTTCCCCACCTTCCCTCCCCCCGTCCCCATCTCCCCCTCGCCCCCATGACGTGATCCATCTGAGTGCCATGCGAGCTATCATTATCGATCATGCCTTTCATCCAAATTTTCTGCCTTTCTGCGTCTCTTGTTTGCCTTGTGTGCTCCCCCGTTCCCCTCCCACCCTTCCCGGCTCTCCTGCATTCTCTTCGCTCCTTGCCTTGCCCTTGTCCCCCCCATCTTGCTTGCTTGCATGCCTGTGCTTGTGCTCGTCCTGGCCCTCCCTCCTTTCGGTCTCTCCCTTCGCCACGCTCCTCCTTCTCCTTCCTCCCCCACTCCCTTGCTGTTGTATGCTTTCTTGTATGCCGGCCCCATCCGCTCTTGCCTTCCTCTCTTGCCTCTTCTCTTGCTCGCTTGCCCTCGTGCCCTCGCCGCTCGTCCACCCTCTCTCCCCCCCGCGCGTCCTTGGCAATGCAGCCTCGACGTCAGGTCCCGGTGGTGGCGCGGAGGGGGAGGCGGCGGAGGGTACGGGGGCAGCAGGGGGGGTTACCGCTCGGGCCCGGGCGGTTGGCAGGGCGGAGGGGGCGGCGGAGGATACCAGCAGCCGCCCCCGGGCAGCAGCCGCAGCAGGGCGGGGGATACGGGGGAGGGTTACAGCCAGGGGCAGTACGGGGGGCCGCCGCAGCAGTACGGGCAAGGGCAGGGCTACGGGGGGTGGATACGGGGCGCAGGCGGGAGGAGGCGGGGAGTACCAGCAGCAGGGGGGGTGGGGCGCGGGCGCACCACCAGGGGGGCAGCAGCCCCCGCCTGCCCCGCCAGCGCAGCAGCCGCCAGCCGCACAGCCACCCGCGCAGCCAGCAGGAGGCGCACCAGCAGGGGGAGGGTACGATTACTATGGGCAGGGCGCACAGGCGCCCCCCCCTGCTGGGGACGGGGGGTACGCGTATGGCGCTCAGCAGGGCGGGCAGGCGGGGTACTATGGGGGATACCAGCAGGGGTACCCGCAGCAGCAGGGGCAGCAGGCGCCTCCTGCGGGGTATGCAGCAGCACCGGGGGGGTATCCTCAGCAGCAGGGGTATGATCAGCAGGGGTATGGGCAGCAGGGGTATGCCCAGCCAGGGTATGGTGCGCAGCAGGGCGGGTATGATTACTACGGGCAGGGGCAGCAGGCGCAGGGAGGGCAGGATGCGTATGGGCAGCAGCAGCAGCAGCAGCCCCCGGCGGGGGGGCAGCAGGCGGCAGGGCAGGGGTATGGTGGAGCGGAGGGTGGTGCGCAGGGAGGGTATGATTACAGTGCTGCTGCCCCGCCTGCTGCCGCTCCTCCTGGCGCCGCTTAGCTTGCGTGCTTCGGAAGGGAGTGTTGCCATTGCTTCCGTTCCCTCGCACCCTTTGCTTGCTTGCTTACTTGGTGCACTGCTGCTTTGAGTTGCTGCTGTTGGTGTGCTCTGTTGCCTGGTTGTTCCCCTGTGCTGCCATTTGTCGTGCTTGACTAGTGACTAATCAGAGGTGCATGGAGAGCATGTGACTAAAGCAGCTGTGGGCTGTGGAGCACATGGCTTAGACCGTGCACTCATCTTAAGCGGGTTACCCGCTGCAGTTTGATAATATCATTAGCATACCTTTGGACGTTTCTTGCTTCTGCTGACCTTTGGATGTGACTTCGTTCACTTATCACCCATTTCGTTGCACCACGGTTTTATTACTCATGGATTTGATGCTCCAAAAAAATGCTGCTTATAACTTGCGGTACCATAATCTGCACTTACACGACGAGCTCCATTGCAGCGACAGTGGGGACATACATGGTATATACTAAGCAAGTAACACATCTAAACTAATCAATTCAAGCACCTTCTCTGTCCTGCTTCTCCTTCACCAAGTCTCTAATCTCAACAGCAAACCAGCACACCATTCTAAAATCCAAATCTGAACCCCCCATCACCCGCATTAGCTGCTTGCTCCCAGAAAGCAGCCTTCTGCTTGCGTCTGAGCTCGCGCTCCTCCTCGTCCCTCTCCTCCCTCTCCAGCAGCCCTGGGCGGTGCACCGCCAGGCACTCACGGAAGCGGTCGTGCAGCCCCTCGCGCTGCCCCTCGCCCATGCCTGACACCAGTACACGCGCATTGGGCCGCTGCAGGAACCGCATCACATCCAACAGGTTCGCGCTGGGGGATGCGGTGTGAGGGGGAAGGGAGAGAGGGGAGAGGGCGAAGAGGGGAGGGGGCCAAGGGGAGGAGAGAGGTTGAGACTGGGAAATCATGGCTTGGATTGGAAGGGGAGGAGTGCAGCGATGGGGACAAGGCAGGTGACAGAAAAGCGATGGGTGGAAAGAAGATGAGGGCATGCATGTGTGTGCATGTGTGAGCGACAAGAGACGCTCTCTTGCGTGCCCACCTGGAGACATAGTTCTGAGTGAGAGCAATGGACTCCTCCAGGTTGAGCACGATGTGCCACCATCCATGCGGCACAAACATCACCTCGCCCGCCGCACACACGCCCTCATACGCCGTCACCGGCCCCCGCCGCATCTCCTCGTAGTAATTCATAAACCACTCCGTGATCGACACCGGCGCCGCCACGTCAGCACCATCGGGGCTCGCACGCACGCCAGGTGGCGGGCCCTCGTTGGGCGGGAAGAGGATCCACTTCTTGGAGCCGGTGATGACGGCGTTCCAGGCGCACGTGGAGTTGGGGTCTATGTGCCATGATGACCCCGCCCGGGCAGGGCCCATGATCAGCCACCGAAAATCAGGTCGCCCACTCGTCTCCTCCTTCTTCCCTTGCCCCTCTCCCTCTCCCTCTCCCTCTCCTGCACCCACCTCCACTTCACCAGTTTCCCCCGTTTTTCCCCTCCCGCCCGCACTCCCCTCACCCCCATCTCCCCCTTCTCCCCCAGCTCCACCCGCGCCCCGCTCACCCCCGTTCTCCCCTCCATTCTCCCCACCACCCGTCCCCAGGTCCAGCACTTGGAAGAGGTCCTCTCGGAAGTACTCGGGCACCTCATAGTCTCCCAACAGAGCAGGCGCCTTTTCCCCAACCGCGGGTCAAACACGTACAGCGGCCGCTCCTCCTGCACTCCATCCGCATACCGCCAGTACTGATCCAAGCTCAGCTCCACCGGCCCGCACGCAAACGCACTGTCGCCCGCTGCGCCACACAGGTACGCACGGTCCTGCCACCGGGACAACGCCGGCCAGTGGTTGATGGCGCCTGTGATGATCACCGCCGCCCGGGGCGCTCGAAGCGGGCGGCGAAGTCGGCGGGCGAGAGGGAGGTGGCGGCGACGCGCGGGATGTTGTCGTGGGTGGTCCAGGCGGGCGGCAGGGCGAGGCTGGTGCAGAGCCAGCTCTGGAAGAAATAGTCCGAATAGAAGTCCGGTACCTGAGAGGGGGAGGCGAGGGGGAAGGGGTTTGGGGTTAAGGGTTCAAAGGGGTGAGGGGTGTTGAATAGAGATGGGTGGGATATGGGGGCGAGTTGTGGTGAGTTGGTGCAAGGGCCCTGAGAGGGTGCGGAGGGGGGATCACGGGGGAAAATGGAGGTGGACGGAGAGGGTACGAGGGCAATGACAGAGGCTCTGGGTTTTGCAGTGAATGTGACAGAACTCTGTCTTGGACTGAAGGTAGAAAACGGGGGTGGTTTGGTGGGTGGAAGAGAATCAGGTTCTGGTCAGCGAGGCGCACCTTCAATGGCGGTCGGTACTGCAACACCCCGCGCTCCTCCCCATGCTTCTCCTTCCGTTTCACGCCCTTCCCTTCCCTGCTTGCTTCCCCTCCCTTCCCCTCCCCCTCTCCCTCCGCCTGCGCCCGTGCGCCCATGCGCCATTTCACGTAAGTCCACCGCCAGCTCGCCTCCCATTCGAACCCGCCTTCCGCGGATTCCAGCACCAGCGCGCGCCACAGCTCCTCCTGGTGCGCCACCACGTGCAGCGCGCGGCTCGCCATGCCCACGTGGCACAGCGACTCGGCGGGCAGCCGCCCCACGATGTCCAGCAGGATTGGGTCCGGCAGGCGCCGCAGTGCGCCGAGCCCCGCGTCGCGCGCGTTGCGGAGGGGTTTAAGGGGGTTATGGTCGGAGCGCAGGAAGAGGTTCCCTAGGGGTTGCACGCCCAACGGATGCCCGCCGCGCTCCAACCCGAACCGCTGCCGGCTGCTGCTGTCGCCAGCGTTCGTCTCTTTCCTAGCTTCATCGTCGTCATTGTCGCCCAAATCGAACCGCACTCGCCGCCCATCGCTGCGCCTCCGCCGCTGCTCATGCTCCTGCTGCGGCGCCTGTGGATCATCCGCCGATGGCAGAGCGCCTCCGGGTAGGAGGTTGTCTCCCCGCGCGGCAGCTGACAAGGAGGGCGGAATGCGCCGTTGTCGGCTTGCGCCGAGCACCTTGCGCGCAGCAGGGTGGCGCCGGCGGCGCAAGCGCTGAATGCGGCGGGGGAGGGAGGCGGCGCCGAGGAAGCGGTGGAAGCGGCCGAGCGGAGTCCATTCGAGCGTGCTGCTGGCGAAGACGGGGCAGGGGGGGGAGTGCGCCGCAGAGCGCGCTTTGGCAGTCATGGGGGAAGCGGAGCGGAACTGAGAAGGGCGGAACAAGAGTGCGGAGAGGAAGCGTGCAGTGCGTGGTACGTCCCAGCGCTCTTGGGTTGCTGGGAACAGAATGGCGGGAACGAATGTGCCGTGGGGAAAAAAAAGGATCCGAGCTTTGGACGTATGTACGCGGTAAGGTCCGATGGCGTTTCTCAGTTATTAGTCCCTTTCAATAAACACACGTGAATACATACATAGCCGTTCCATTAATACTAAGGTACCCTCCAACAAAAACGTGTGTATCATATACTCGTTTAGGAAAAGTGACATCAGTGCTTACATTTAAGGTAGAGGATCAACAAAGCCATGGTCCAAAGATGACACATGTTGGTGGAAATGTTTTTTTATGAACAAAATAATTACACAACATGGCAGATGATACATGATACAACAGACACGCATAAGCCATACACGGCTGGGTCCAGACCAGAACAAACACCAACCTGGCAATCAAACCAAAGGTACCCAACTAGCTGCAACACCAGCCACAGTCCATGTGCCGTCAACTCATCGCGACAACACAGGCGAGAGCACTCGCAGGTTCTTATACCGGGCAAAGATGGCCCAGTTGGGGTTGTTCACAGTGGACGCACTTCTATTGCCCGCCCACCACCCGTTGCCTGCACTGCTGGCATCCCACATGCTGGCGTAAAAGAAGGCCGGCTTGGAGGGGTATGCTTTGGACGGCACGGGGTGCGCCCGGCTTGCTGCGCTTGGCGGGGGGGAGAACGGAGGAGGCGTTGTACTCGACACGCACTGCCTTGTAGTCTATGAACCAGCTGGTGTGGTGCATGGTGGGAGGGCATACGGCAGACAGGAAGAGGCGGAGAAAGAGGGGAGGGAATGGGAGAAGCAGGAGGAACGGCAGGGGCGGGGAAGGGCGCAGGAACAGGGGAGGTGTCAGTAGTGCAGGGCAGGTAAGCAGTGCATGCAT